GAATCAAATGTCACAACTCCAACATCGAACCTAAAACACATAGAACTCCTAGACCCTAGCAGACTTCCATCTGAATTGAAAATATCATAGGAGCCTCACATAATCTAGGCAATCGAGATCACAATGGACTCACCAAAAGTGGATCACAAATGGACACGTGATAAGTGGCAAATGTGATTTTCCTTTGCTTAGCTTTATTAATATTCTATTAAACCTGACGCAATCAGGATGCTTGAATCACACTAATTGTAGAAAAAGGGAATAATGCAAATGCGTAACAACCTCATGGATGATCAGTGTCTGAGGAGGATCCTAAGATGATTAATTTTCGAGGAAATTACGAGACATAACTTTAAGAGACAGAATGGAATGTTTCCACTGCACCCCGTTTTCCAAAAATGTCCATATTTTCAAAGTTTTTGTCAATTCATCAAAAGATATTGATTTCTTCTCTAAAGGGTTACCAAGTTCTTTGTCTTCCTTTTGCACTAATTTCGAACCATCTAGGCAAAATTGACAAGAGTTTCTAGTCAACTTGGACATCTTTGCCTTCCTCGTCAATGAAAATAATAAATTTCATCTTGTCAAGAATCTAGTCAACTTTGCCTAGAAGACATTTTTGCATAAATAAAAATATTAGGCAGGAAACATATTTCATTTTGCCCCACTGACATTTAGATTAGTGCTTAACAACACTTGGGATAGATATCATTTTTATAAAAAGAATAATTTGAAATTTTTACTTTAATTTTCTGGCACAATGCATATAGATGCAAAGAAATCAGTAAAATGTGTTAAAACATTATATACTCCAAAAGAATCAATATAACTAAAACCAATAAGCTACCAGAGTTTAAAATTGTTAAAACCTTATTATTTCTCGCATCTGAGATGATTTCCTCAAGAAAATCAATGCTACATATTTGGGCAGATTGGGACACCATGGTATTCAAGGTATACTCTTCTTCAATATCAACCATTTCACTACTAGCTTCCACCTTAGAAGCATCATCACTGAATTGCATTATTTCTGATTGCTCTGAATTGGTGTTTTGCATATCACTCACCACTGCCAATTGGGCACTGCTTTCTGAAGGACTCAAAGTTGGATCATTAACTGTTAATGAAATAGGTTGATCAACAGAATTCATCACCTCCAACCGATTTCCATCTTGACAGGATTTTCCCTGATAATTGTCTTCAAGGATACCTGTGTTGCAATCTCGGTCTGGTCCACCAGAATTTTCCAAATCCTGCATATCATACACATTTCGATCAAAACATGTAGCCCCATCGTTTGAAGATCCCAATGTATGATGAGAACTCTGATCAAACAGAGTTTCAATGCTGCCTTCTGAACAATTCTCAACGAAAACTGATGCCTCTTTTTCAGGGCCTCCAGACACTTCATGATGATTATTTGCCCTGTTTTCATCCGTCGCGATGAGAGGTTCGACATGAGATGACACATCCACCGCAAGCTTAACACTATTTTCATCACGTTGCACCGATGAGATCAATTCAATACATTCTTCATGAATTTCACTACATGTGTCATAAAAGGGCTCATTATGTCCATCATTTGCATCATGGAATGATTGCTTAACTCTAAAGCCCACATCATAAGATGTAGAACCATTTTGCTCTTCAGCTGAACACTTTGTGTTCACAGAAGAGGCATCCTTGGTCCAGGCAGTTGCCACAGGTTCTACAATAGCTGTTATAAAGTCAAGAGAGCACACCAGATAAAACTCGTAATGAATAGCTCAACCTATACTCTAAATACTTGATTGAGATATAATAAAATCAATAAAGAAACAAATTTGAGCATTCTAATTGGTAAAAGTGGTACCTTTAGGTGACTCGGCCAGGTTCCTATTCTCACCGGAAGAGTTAGTTTGTCTAGATCTTTCAATAAAAAGGGGAATAATATCCACAAGAACCGCCTCAACAGCAGCATCAGCATCATTACTATGCTCAATTGCAACAGCTCTAAGAACTCGAGAATCAATCTGTCCCACAGAAAGGAATTTACGCAACACACAAATTGAGATTATTATCTGGTCGCTTCTTCTTAAAAAAGAATCTATGCGCTATCAAATACTAATCTTCATACTACCCAATAAAATTATGAATCAAAAGAATGACTCGCGAAGATCATTGAATAATCCACGTCTACTTTATATACAAAGGGTGAACCCTGAACAAGTGCCTAAATAATCAGACAAAAATCAACAATAATAGCAAATAAAACGCAGAAACTCAAACTCCTAAACTTACCTGCGGAAAAATTTCCTGCAACGCCTTATATACTTTCTTGAATCCCATCCTCAAATTCTACCGGTCAATTCTGAAAATAATCAACTAAATTTTAATACCCGATCACGCGGTAATTCCAAATCTTATTAACGCATAAATAAAGTACGACATGCAAGTGTGTATTACACATGGAGGGGTGACACAACATGCACGAACTTGAAAACCCTAACCCCTTCAGTTTAACTTTATACACATATGCTTGGACATCAAGACCATGGTGAATTCCAGTTAAAAAATAAATATAAATATAAATGATAAAAATCGTAACAACTACAATATCAAATATCGTTCTCTTTCAGTACCAAAATTATAAAAAGAGAATAGAAAATTAATACAAACCTTTCGAACTCGCCTTTGTGTATGTGCGTGAGAAATGAGGAGGAAGAGAAGAGGATACAATATATACGTCATGATCATTTTGGGGAAAGCAAAGGTGTGAGTAAGTGTACAGAAGGGAAGCTCTAACGTTTGTACATTTTTCAAGCATTTGACTTTTTATTTGAATTGATCTCACTCGGGCTAAGGTACAATCCTGCTACAAGATAAGCTTTTTTAAGTTTTAGGCTCATTTGGTACACATTAATGTGTAAATGAAAATGAAAAATATAATCGTTAAAATTAGAAAGTCAAATATTGTGATTTGATGTGATAGGTAACGATTATATTTTTCATTTTAATGGACAGATAGTGTGAATCAAAGTGGTTAATCTCTATATTTTTTTCTTTTTCTTTTTCTTTTTTTAAACAAAAATCCCAGTCTCCATCTAGTAGAAATTAAAATAAATTTAAAGTTAATAATTAAATTTAATCACATTTTTTTATAGAATTTAAGTTTTTTTAATTAGATATTTTATCAATTTTAATTGAAATTTTCTAAAAATTTATTTTAATCCCTACCAAACAAAAACTTAACTATTAAGTAAAAGCAAATTGGTGGGTCCCACAAGCAAGGAATTTGGCACTGCAAAGTATATAAAATGAAGAATATTAGTCTAAAGCTCTAAAATAAATACATCAGTCACAATATTATAGCAAAAGAAGTCAACGGGTCAGACATATTCTACCTCCCTCTAATTATTTATAAATAAAGAAAAAAAAGCCTCCATAAATGTCTTTATAATACAAGAAAATATCTGGTTATCGCTGAGGAAATTTTACTCCAAAAATTCTCACATATATTTGAAGGGGAAAAAAAAAAAAAACGTCTTGTTAGACTCTCAGTAAAGCAAACTGTTTCAAGGAACCATTGGATTTTAATCTGGATCGTTCAAAAGAGCATTTTTTCCGATCAGAATAGTGGAATGGAAGGCACTACAAGAGAAACCGTGAATAATCCCGTACTGACACTGTTGTAAGAAAGCACTAGCAACCGCACCAAAATAAATATGAATGGAAACCGTTGAGATGTCTTCATTGTAAAGCACAAGACTATCTGCCTACCGTGGTCAAAAGATAAGTCGGTGCTCACCCGACTAAGAGGACTGAGAAATTAATAGAGTACAAAATTTATCTTCAAAGGTCTAGCTACATTCTCAGAGCAAGCACAAGCGTTATCCAGACAAGCAAGTAGGTAAGGAGTTAAGAGTTCTGGGTGGAGGGGCTTTAGTTCATTAGTCCTAATCCAATGCATTTCAAGTGCTAGGGTGGAGGATACGAAGCTCTGAGAATTCCTAACGTTAGGAGACAAATAGGGAGCAACTTAAATGCTACACATAATTTCTCTCTTTCTAAAAATTATAGTTTTCTTTTATTGCGTAATCTTTATATTGAACTAAAGGTTCTCAATCGTTACTTAACCCTGTTTGAACCCTTTTTTTTTTGGGAAAAATAGTACATAATCTATTTTTTGTCGAATGTGTGGTTAAAAATAGAAAAAATTTGAATTTTCGTGCAAAATAATATTATTAAGAAAATGTGTAGTTAAAAAAGGATTTGAAAAGTACTTTCAAAAAATGAAAGTCAAACGAGGGCTTATCGTTGTACTTAGAATACTACTTTTTAATCACATTATTATCCCCAATCTTCCATTAATTAACACATAAATATGCAAGAGAGAAAAACAGAAACAAACATGTGTTTTTTTTAATTACTCTTAAGTGTTCCAATTTTGTTCAACTAATCCTCGGGAATGTCAGCTTTTCTTTGATTCACCACTCGAGTAAATCGAATGTGGTTCTGACTCATACACATTTGGATCGGACATTCGGAAAACAATTCTCTTCCTTATGAACCCCCTTTAAGTCATGCAAATGGGACACCGGAAGGGGCAACACTGTCTGTACAGGATTTCCACCTTTCAACAAAAATGTTGCTTTCCAATTGTCGAGGGGATTCAACCCTCCGATGCTTCGTAAAAGAATCATCCTGCTTTACCCCAGCACCATGTTCGTGGGGGCGAAACAAACATGTAGTTCACACAAGTAATAGCTCGAGTTGTAATGTCGCTCAGCATCTCGTTGTTCGACAGCAACCGAGATCACTGTTACATGTTCTCTATGTGTTCAGACAACTATGTTTGCATGCGAGAAAGAAAAGAAAATCTTTAAATTAATATTAAGTAAAAAGGAAAAATGAGGAAAAAATGATGTTTCGAAATTCAGCACGAGGTAAATGGGCAAATTAGGAATCGTGCACACTCTACATGGGAGATTAATAGTTATTAAAAAGGAATACAACAAAGATAATTCAATATCGTCTAGTCCTATTCTATTCTCATTCATAAAATTAACTGAAAATTTGATAATACAAAACCTTAAACATAATATCTCCAAAGGCAAGTCATGTAGACAAAATTGCGCATTATTCAATTTAACTCGAAACCACCTAATCTCCTAGGCACAAGATTACATCTGTAACACGAATTTTCTAGGTTTCACATCTCTATACATTCTATGGACATATTTCCATACGACATTTTCTAAAGAATGTGGATCACACTTAAAATTTACTTGCATTGACATTGATAAGATTAGGTACCTCATCTTGAGTCGTAACCACTTCCATTCAGAAGGGAATGCTAGTTCAACGAACAAATTTGAGAAGACCCCGTTTTTTCCTTGAATGGCATTCCAATCTTAATGAAGCATTCACTTCTGAAAGTCGATATATAGTGTACTATGCCACAGTAAAAATTGTGCTACCACAAACCACGATGGTCTCTTCATATGTCACACACCATACCAATTCAATGCTTTGCTTAGACTTGGCATTACGTTATAGGCTTGATAGGATCTTCTCAATTCAATGATTGAACCCACCTGAAAATGTAGACAGAAAAGGGAAAAGGGAATTTGGTTAAATGAACGTGGAAGAAACAATATTTGTTTTTGGCATCAACTTGACATTTGTAGCGAAAGGAAAAACCGCTGAAGAAGCATGTAAATGTGAAAGGAACAGAGAAATTGCAGAAAAAGTAAGAATACAGAAAGGAATGAATACATAATGGAAAAACGTGAATGCCATGCCTGAAAATAATAAACTTACAATAATCAGAATGGACGTGAATCCTATAGAAAACCCCTCATTGATACTGCGTAAATAATGATCAAGAACGGTAGATATTGTAGCCAAAACACTTAGCAACACGCCACCTGCAAAATAATCACCACAGCGCAAAGAGAGGGAGAGAGAGAGCAAATCTGGTGTAAGTAAATGGCATTACAACTAAGAAATATAATGGAAACTATGGAGATAATTGTACCCCAAAAGCGTGTTGATGCTTGTATCTGTGTCAAATACTCGATGGTAGCCTTCCCAGGCTTTATATTTGGAATTCTCGCACCCATTTTGTTCAAGTAATCAGCAATTTCCTTCGGCATATTGGCCTGAGAAGTTGTCATAGGTAAGTAAAGTTGTGTAAAGAGAGGAACCTTTTTTCCAGATGCAACACTGCCATCTATTACTATAATTCACAGTCCATTAACTTCAAAATGCACATATTGAAAAAGTGACGCAAGGTAATTTTTGCCACACTTTTCTATAGGTCTAGGAATAATGCACCTTTGTCTCTATGAATTATACATTACGTAGTAATGCAACCAATCAAGCCATATTTTTGGTACGCTCTTCAGAGCTCTACAAGGAATGCATCAGCCCCTTATATAAGAGGGTTCTGGATAAGATGTGGTGCGACATAATTCACAAGGCAAAAGCTTTTTCAAGAGTAAAATATTCAGTCATGGCACAAAATAAATGCAATTATATCATATACTAAATAAAATTTTCCATTTTTGGAAATAAGGAAACACATATTAGAACTTCCTTGTACACCATGTAAACTTTGATAACAAATGGATTGACTTTCTAAAACCTTGTCAACTTGTCGTTGTATTTATAATTGCTTAAATGATTTAGAAAATTCAGAGTTTTACACATCCAAATGTTTCCCATAATCATCAAGCATGTAAGAAACATATTGGAATAGTTAATATACTGTCAATTATAAACTCCAGATATAAAATATATTAGCTGATTGGTTCTCTCTATATTTTTCCACTTAACTAAACGCAACAACATTTCATCCATACTTAAAGTGAGGATAGGCAAAGAGATTGCAGATACTTTTACAAATTCAATTTTCTCGTGCAATCACCAAAAGGAAAAGAAACATGTGCATATGCTAATAGACCTACTTTTTAGTACACCACATATCAAACACATACACTGCATAAAATGATATTTCACTAAATATGTAGGTTTAGAATACTTACAATGTCAAATATATTAAAGAGGAACACGAAGAATGCATAAATTGAATAGAAAACCCAGGGTTCTGCGCCACGAGAAGTTTCAGGATTCAGGATATCTCTAACATGTTCCCAAAAGCGTGAGCCAAGAAGACTGCAAAAATAATAATAATAATAATAATAATAATAATAATAATAATAATAATAATAATAATAATGATAATAATAATAAAATAAAAATCCAATGGCAAATCACTTGCATGCAAATAAGAAAAGTGACTACGCAACTTAGAATATCACTAGAAATTGATTCCATATTATAGCTAAAATATATGGAATTATATACTGCAGGAGATATAACTAAGTGGATTCGTTACACATATACCCCCAAATAAACATATGATAAGCAATGGCGTCATCTCAAATAATACCCTGCAAGGATGCTAGGGAATGCCAGGAGATATGATGTAGTGAGAACAGGCTGCATTCCAGAAGGATTTATGTTGAATGGGATATATGGTTCGACTTCAGTCATAGGAGAATCTTCTCTGCCAAAAGCGCATTTAACAATGAATGTCAGTCTGATATTTAGAAAATATTGAGACTCCAAACATATCATTCAATAAGCAGTCCAAATGTTAACGAACTACTGGAAATAAATTCCATTAGAGCAATTAAATTGATGGCACAGCATAAATATTTAAAATTTCAAGGAGGTACAAAATTCCAGTACAATCAGCTCTTGATCACGATCAGATATGAGGTCCAGACTTATAAATCACTTTTTAAAATCAGACTGGTGATGCAATCCTTCTGATAATTCACTAATTTATCTTGTTAGGTCCCTTTATCCGCTGACACCCCTGCATCCCCCATTTTCCTTCAAGTAGTTGCATTTTTTGGCTGCCCATAGTGTTCTCTGGTTCTCAATTTGAATATTTTGAGGAGGAAAATGGTTCTAGCTGCGGTTATTATTTATCAAAAAATGTACCATGATAAGCCACTAAACTCCACTTAACTCCTGTGAGAAAAATAAATAAATAAATAAATAATAAATTCAACCTGGTAGATCCATCCTCCATTCACGCTCTAAGCTCTGTAGTTTAGGCCACAGATCCTAGTGTCAGTATAGAATTGCAAAGTTCAAAGTCTTTATCCCATTTAAAAAAAGATGCTGATATACATCTCTTTTTCCTTAACCAATAAAATAATAAGTTGGAAAAAAGAAGTGTGTGCAAGTGAGAGAGAGAGAGAGAGAGAGAGGCTTTTCTCATAAAGAAGTAACAAAGCTTCTGCAGAATATCAACTGATTTTATTCAGAAAATGGACTACAGGTGGCATGTCCCAATAGGTGCACTTTTGGTAGGAAAAATGCAAAATTTATGCATAAGTAAAAAAAAAAAAAAAAAAGTCTTGGGACAGAATTCCAATTTAAATGTCAAAATCTGAAGGATTCAATCCAATTCCTGGAATCCAACTCCATAACAAATACTACTCCAGTGTTCTATAAATACGCTCTAGTTGAACCCTTAGGGCTCACTGATACTCGCTCAAGCTTGAATACAATCTTAAGCTCATGAAATTAGTACAGTTCCACCAGAATCTGGGATAGTTACGGTTAAATATTGTCTAGATTAACAAAGCCGTTCAAGCAAGGCTCAATTTTGAGAGCACCTTCACGTTCTGCTCAAAGGTATGATGGTGAAGCTTGAGCATTTTCCATGACTTGTCTTCAATTTCAAGTTGAGCTTGAAGAGTACACAGCTCTTTAGAGAAGGCTAATTTTCCAGCGAAATGTTCGTGCTATGATATCCTTATTACAAGATGATAACAGCTTAACACAATATTAAGTTTTAAACTAATGCGAACATCTCCCAAATAACATAAAAATATCTAAATTTTTTGATATTTATATCACTCGTCAGCTAAATGATAATATTGGTATCCGTCAGATTGGCTATGAATATTCACCTGGCCGCAGAAGCAAGTTTGAAACCATAATATTGCAGTTTGATTTTCCTGCAACCCTCAGTTACGACAACTGCCCACATAGTCACTACAGTGAAAATACCTACTACTGTAAGTATGTAGGGCCACCAGCTCAAAGCACTTCCTGCAGCACCAAAATGAAATTTAATGCATCAGTACTTGGAAGATATGACATAATATGCAATCATTTTCTCAGCCAAGGGTACTAGGTTAGAAAACTTCCTAGTGGAGGAGCAAGCATTAAGTTTTGGTCATCATCTTTTTGACAATCATACATCAAATTTTAACCAACCATTTAAAATGCAAAATTAATGCTGCTGTTCTGTCTCCAGTAATCCATCACATAAATGCAGACATTAGTTTTTACATATAATGGTTATTTGTACGACATTTGACAAGTTAATACATGTATTTTTAATTTTCAGGGAAATTATTACCAGTAGCAGGGATAAGAGAGAAATAACTCCCAAGTTTTTCACAAGTGGAAAGGCAAACAATTTCTATGAAAGAGAATAATAGCTCGCATTCATGCAAGTAAAAACGCCTACTCAACATGTGAAGACTCGTAGTAAATTGAAAAGTACAGATTTATAGATAATATTCTTCTCTATTGCACGACTAAATAACAAGAATATAATGAAAGAATCTGCGTGTGACCACGAGCATTGTAAGCATGCACTGTTTGATCAAATAAACCAACAAAAATAGAATACAGCACCAAAATATTATTATATGTACCCATAAAAGGCAATAGTGATGTGGTTTCTGGCACTCTACCTGTGAGCTGAGTTAACATTTTGTACAGCGTATCTGTGTAGCCAGTCAAAATGCCCACACAGATAATCAAAGAAGATCCTTGACCTGACCATGCATTACTTATTAGAGAGCTAGATAATATTCCGCAAACATGACAAGAAAAATACAGTTCATTTGGAAAACTAATAACAATTAAGAGTTTGTTAGGGAGAGATTATTTTTAAATCATTTTCAACTACACATTCTATGGAACCCATAATTTCTCCCTATTTTTTAATATCACATTCTCCCAAAAAAAAAATAATAATAATAATCATTTTTCACTTGGGAAAATCTCTCCCAAATAAACTCTGAATGGAGTTGATATCTCATCTTTGACAGATGTTAATCCAATTTCCCAATGAACAGAAGCCAGTAACATATCAAGCTGCCGGGAAATTCCAATGACAAAGGTCAAAATGACAGCATATCAAGACAAGCAAGTAAAATACACCACGGTGCTATAATTAGAAAGACAAAAAAGAAAAATCAAGGGACACGCCCCAAAAAAATACCAAATCCAGACTCTGAAATCTTGTCACAGATCCATGTTGTAGTCATTGCACCACACACCAGCAGCAAAGTCGTCACTGTCACGTGTTTTACCCTGAAAACAGCATATACGAAGCAAAGCCAATTTCATCATGTCAATAAAATCAGCCGCTTGAAGATGATAGGAAACCTCTTAGTGACACTCACAGGCCATAAAGCAAACTGATACGGATATTTTCTCCCGATAAAGAACAAAGAAATATGAATAATGTACAAGGAAAATGTGTCCCTATGGTTCGGTCGCATATAAGAACATTCTAGATCAAATCTCGCTTTGGATGCATATAAACAAACTACCACAAACAAACAAAAAAAAAAACTCTTTAACAATAAATTCGTATTACCAAATTATTTGCACCATCGTATATACCTAAAAATATACCATCACAGTAGACTATTATGATCAAAAAATTAAAACATCGACTCTTTCCACTCACTCTACCAAACTATACGTGTTTAGTGATTTAACTCCATGTGGAAGGGATGCGAAGTGAAGAAAAGGCAATATATCAACAGGTAGCAAATTTCAATGAATCTTGTAACTTTAAAGGAATAGAAAAATGAATGATAAAGATAGTATTAGCACTGATTACAGAATAAGATAAAAAAAGATTCACAAGAAAATTGAACAAGAACAGTGAAACTTAATAAAAAGTGGAATCAGTTCCAAGACAAATTGACAAGTTTAAAAAGGTTCAGACTACCAAATACGAAATGACTATCTGCTTGTTAAAATCTCCTCAAATGAGGATGATATATGCTAATATCTTAAAGAAATTACACCTTGCAAACAGAGAAAATGTGAAAAGGAAAAATTCAGATGGCCCCTCCATCCACGAACTCCGCATTCCCAGCACACACCACCACTCAAAAAATAAATAACACCATATAAAGTGAGCGTGGTTGTATTTCCAAATAAAACTTGCCAAAGTAAAATATAAATTATTTGTGTAAGATCATAGTTTAAAATGAATTTTTTTCTACAATGATTACCTGTGACTGGCTGCATAGATTGAATATGGAAGTGAATAGCAAGCAAGTATCACAGCTTCCAGTATTGCAAACCCAAGAGCGATCCACCAACTGAAAGAGATGAAGTAACCCATGAAGCTTAAAGCAAATTATAGGCAATGTTAACAATGATGTAAACAGCAATGAATTCATGAGGACTCGTCTCACGGCTTGAAATGAGTAAGTAGACACACATATAACTTTTGATCTTCTCATGACCATCTAAGCCTTCCTTCCGCAGCTTCACTAATGACGGAATCACATGACAAAGCACCTGAACATTACATTTATTATAATTACCACCATACTCAAGGCTAGCATATTACAAAGGGATAAAAGCAAACTTGAGAACAATTTCAAGGCCAAAGTTATGCATTCAACTTCCATACATAATGCATTTGGTAATTGCATCTATTTGCCAAACAATTAATACAAAAAAATGTACTGTAACTGACAAATAAAAGATACATAATGTGATATTGATTATGATTTAAATGTTTGGAAATACCGCAGCCAGATTGTGCTAACTAGAAAGGATAGCACCTAGCCAGAAGTTCGCTCTGGTAAATCCAGCATTACTACCTGATTTATGTCTCTTTTACTCCCCCCCTAAACCTAGGGAGAAGAAAATTGAGAAGCTATTGAGAAACTTTGGTAGGCAGGACAGTACAGAAAGAAAAAGAGAATGATAGACATAGAATCTAAAGAGAAAAAGATAACAATGGAAAGAAATCTGAACAATCCCTATTAATAATCAAATATATATTAAATTGTTTATTCACAGGGACTACATTTAGACTAGTAGTCAGGAATATACTAGGATATTAATTATAATCCAACTCGTAGATGAACTTTAACAAACTCAAACTAGGATAAAACTATATCTCAGGACCGATCATCTTAAAATAAAAAAAAAAGTTAAACATTTCACTCCTATATTTAACTTTAAACAAGCAGGTAACTTAGGATTTTTATCACCGTCACTTGCGAACATCAATTAAGCTTGACAGGATGTTATGGAGATTTCCAGATTTTAAGGACATTCTGGCATTTTCCAGCATTTTGTGGTGTTTCTGTTGAAGGTATGACTTCCCTAAAAGAAGTCAATGGAATGGATCTCCGGAAATGTATCCCATAAAGATGAGAACATTCTCAAACTTATAAAAGTTGATAATGGACATGAAGTATATACAGGTTTGGAGGTGATGTTTATGTGGTAAAACATAAGAATGCGAATTCTGATTTATATCGTATTGACAGAATTAGGGGCCCGCTGCGATTGGCTCTAGTTGCTTGAAAAACTTTATTTAGTTCAATATTAATGCACTTTGAATGCAGATTACAGTCAGATATCTGCAGTTAACAAATCATATTGTTCTGCAAGTTAAGAAGCACAAAGAAAGTTGCATGACACTAACATGACATGATGCACTTATTGAAACTTATAGTGTGACACACCAATAATGCAGTAAATTTCAACATGTAGACCCCTTGAAAAAGAAAACTTTTGGTTTAATTGCAAATTTAACTCCAGAAGATACATGGAAATACAGAAAGAGAAAAATGATTGCAGGAACTCCCTTTGGCATGCAAAAACAGCTATTAGAAATGTAATTTAGGGAAAATTGCAGCCACAATACCAAACCTTTCATTTAATAGCAAACTTGACCTAAACCTTTCATTTGTGCCACATACAATACCAAACCTTTCAGAAATTCTCAACTGGATGATTTTTGTTAATTTGACCGTTAGTTGACCCTAAAAAGTAATTTTGACCAAATTGAAAAAAGGGCAAAATGGTAAATTAACTATGTTTCACATAAAATAATTTTAAAAAATTTCAAAATAAAAATAAAACCATCATCTTCTTCCACCCCTGACCTCCCTATAAATCTTTCTTGGAAAAATCCATCCCGCCAACCTACCCACCGTTGATAGCAACCCACCAACCACCATCGATCACCACCGCCACCTCAATTGAAGACAACACAATTTCACCTAAATCCATATCCTTCGCCATTGAAACTTGAAAGTAAAAAATTCCAAAAAATTTCAATTACAACTGCTGGCCACCACCGTCACCATCGACATCACCAACTTAACCTCCATCCCCGACGCCATCTCAAAACCAAGCATCACCATCACCTCAAAACCAGCAGCTCCCTCAAGCATTTGAAGAGAAATTGAACCTTCATCTCCCTCAAAACTACCAGCTCCCTCGAGCAATCGAACATTCACACCACCGCCACTGCCATCATCTAACTACCACCTCCGCCATCGCTTTTCCTCACCACTTTCATTCACTAGAACCACCACTTACACCACATTAATAACAAAACCTCAAAATCAAATATGATTTCGAAATCAGTTTCAATTTTCAGATTTGAAGAAAAGAAATCCATGGAATTCTCATTCTTGCGTTATTGGGTGGCAATGAGGATGATGTCAGACGGCCTCAATGGCAGTGGCGGTTGATCGCCTGGGTGGTGATGGTGGCGACTTTGGGGTAAGGCGAGTTGCATGGGGATGGGGAAGAAAGGTTTGGTTTGAGTGAGTGGTTTATTGTTTAATTATTTTTATTATAACTATATGTGCGTGAGTATGTGTGTGGTGTGTGTATCCTTTAACCCTTTAAAAATTAGTCAACAATCAAACCGTTGACCTATGGTTAATTAACAGGAAAACTAACAAAAACCATCTATTTGGACTCCAAGTGAGAATTTCTGAAAGGTTTGGTGTCGTGGGTGCCTGGGTGGCACAAATGAATGGTTTGGGTGAAGCTTGCTACTAAATAAAAGGTTCGGTACCGTGGCTTCAATTTCAGTATAATTTAACGGCATTATCCTCGAATTGAAAGTCAGCAAACCTGCATTAGGATTGATGCACCTATTTGAGGACTGATTCCAAGCTGGAAAAGAGAAAGCTTAAGTTCTGGTGTTAAATCACCAAGTTCGTCTGCAAAACCGTTAAATGAAGAGACATTTAAAGAGGAATGAATTTGACACCAAGCCTTAAGTTATCGGTTATCCCATTACAAGTGGCTCACTTCATTCAAATCCCTAATACAACTGCCCAATACATCTCAGCATTTAGCATGACATCAATTTGTTTAAACACTGAATGAGAATACAAGATGATATGGACATGAATTTACATCATGCATTTTTAAACCATCAAATAACAAATCTTTAAATCAATCTCTATGAGAAACAAATTGATTATTACTATAGTATGAAAAAATAAAAATAACAAGAACACTTTACTAACAATTTAGTACAAAATCCAAATTTACAATATTGTCCCTGTCCTTGTCTTAAAAATGCTTCCTTTCATCAAACATTAATCCATTTACGTGTTTAGCAATATCCACCTGGATGAAATAGATTAATACAGTTTAAATACATTAGACAATTAGAAAGCACATTCCTTACCATGAAATTGATGATTTGTTCAAACTGAGGTTACTGAGCCAAAGTCATAAAATATCATGCAACTTAAGAACTTGAGGAATGCTTTCAAAATTCTACCAGAAGCCAAAAAATTAGCTCAATTATGGAATAAATTAAGAAATAATATAAAAGTTCACTGAAATTTCTTTTCAAGCATGTCAATTAAAAAATTGCAGGCTGAAGGTAAAAGTAATAAAGTACAGCAAGGTATAAAGGAAAGAGGGTAATTTGAACTAGTGAAATCCCTTTTTCCATGAGAAAATGTTGGAAAAAGAAAACAAGATGAGGTGAATGCTCAATCTTTCTGGAATACACTTCTGTAATGGTTCACCTACAACCATGTAAAGGTTCAGATGAAGCAAATGAGTGAAAAATAACCATACCTCACCCAGTTTAAATTTCATATTTTCAAGCATGACTAAAAAGATACATCTGAGTGGCGCTTCGTCCACATGCTTGCAACACACGAGCCAACACGGGTGAAGTCCTCATCACTCAGTCTTCCATCATTTTTGAAATAAAAATAAGATAAAATTTCAAGTGTTACCTATCCCATTGGAGATAGACATTTCCCTTCTTCCCCTTATATTTTAATTTTTTGAAGAAAATATGGTATAAGAACTCAATTGAAGAAAGTCAGTGGCGTTTTTGTATGATATTTCTTCCCACAAGTTACAACACAAATAAAAGCACACTATTTGTTCAAGAACACAATATCATAAGAAAAGGTGATGCCAAAAATACTAAACTACAGAAGACGTAAGGGCAATCGATGGAAGAAAAAATGTATGCATATAAATAGTTGAAATATATAGTTGATTTATTCCCTGTCAACACAGAAAATATACAAAAGAACAATTACCAATAGAATACATAACAACACCGGATGTAATTTAACAGTTAAATGCAGTCTATGCAGATACAAGTGACAAGATGATAGAGTTAAAAAAATGACTCACCAACGGACCCTGAGACAAAGCTGAGGTAGTTTTCCGGTATCAACCGCCTATCAAAACCAGGTAATGGAATGAAATATCCAACCCGGCTCATTACTAATAAAACAGAAGTTACAAACAACCGCCTCCTTATCTCACTCTTAAAAAACGATTCTGCAGCATTATTAATTATGGAACCAATCCGTACAAAATTCAAAAACTTATTCCTAAATGCCATACTCCTGGGCTCAGAAACCTCCAATTTATTGACATCCTGTGCAAGTCCATTATCACTCTTTGGTATAAAATGTTCATAATTCAAAGATTCAGCAGCTGCAGCTGCCTTGACATTTCTACAAACAGTTGGTAGATTGTCCGAAAAATGTTTGAACGAAAACCGTTCAATTCGATTCCGGAAAGAATGCTTTTTTAATAAATAAATTCTCCTCCCAATTAACTCAGAAGATCTTTTCCTGAGAGATAATTGAGTGCCAGACGATGGCGGCTTACAGATTTGAAGATTAGGCACAGCATGCTTGCCTACATGCATAAAAACAAAGAAAAACACCAAAATTTAGCCAAATGAAATTGGAACAAGATATGATAAAAAATAAAAAATAATAATAATAATAATAAAACCCATATGAAATTACAAAATTAGAGAAAATTGAAACTCCGGCAAGTATATGTTCGGTACAAACGGAAATTGACAGCATTAAACTTGTTCGTGGTACTGTTCAAAGTCCAATTCCCTCAAGTACTGCCTATTCAATATACAATAAAAGGACAAATTTAATACCAGTAAAGAGATGGGTTTGAGAATTGAGAAGAACGGCTTTCATGGCGAAGTGCTGCTAAGTTGAGCAAAGCAACGAGAATGTATCTAAAAGGGTTTATTTCATATTTTTCCGGAAATTAAAGATTGGGGTCCCCCAACTTATCAATTTGTTTCATATCAGTTACCAATCTTCAATTCGTCTCAAAATTGGACTTGATAATGAATAGCTCCTATTATGTACCACTAAACAAATTCATTATCTAATGTTATAATTTTTTAACTAGTGTTTTTTTTTTTGGAGAATATGTGGTTGAAATAAAAGGAATTTTTTTAACTCATGTGTAATATTATTTTATTAGAAAATGTGTGGTTAAAAAGAAGAGAGAAAATTGTATTATAAATTTAGCCCCCATTGAATCTCATCAATTTAAATTAATTTTTTCTTTCTTATTTTTAACCATACAATCTTCAATAAAATAATATTATAGGTAAATCAAAAACTTTTTATTCTTTTACAATCATTCATTTAAAAAATATATATATATATATTATTCTCCCATTATAATCAAAATTAATAGAGGCCAAACATGAGCTGGGGTCAAACGGCAGTATATTTTCGATCCAAGATAAATGAGTGACGTGGAGCTAATTTGACATTAAATTGTAATATTTTGCGGCCAGATTAACAAATTGATAATGAATAAGTTTCAACAAGACTCCAACAACACTATAAAAAAAATCCGACAATTGAAGAAACCTTCGTGCACAAGTCGTTTATGAATTAAAGAAAAACGTATTTTGCATACGCTTTCATTAGTTTTAGCCCCTGTTTGGCCCCCATTACGGGGAAAATTTAATGTATAGAATAGTGTTTTTTGAAAAATGAGTGGTTGAAAAAGAAAGAAAAATTTTCGATTTACGTGTAATATTATTTTATGGAAGATTGTGTGGTTGAAAATAGGAGAGAGAAAAATAGAATGTAATGTAATGTAATGAAAATCAAACAAGGGCTTAATTAGAGAGCGAGGGAGATAATAGTTAAATTGAATGACCCTTTTAAAACAATTTTTAGTTGAATGAAACGAATAGTTCAATAAGCAATTTTGAAGAAAATCCATCTCACAAGATTTGAACCTAAACTGAGCTCACGTTTAGTTTACATTTAAAGAGCGAGAGAGAGAAATTCAACAATTAATTAATTTAAATCATCAATTTCATTGATTAATAACTTTTATCAACATTTAGCTACACACTTCATCAATTTTTATTGAAATCTACTAAAAATATGATTTTTAGCAAAATCAGACAAACGGTAAAGGTCAATAGTTACATAGTAGAAGATCAATTTTGCATCGGAAAAAATTTAAAATTCAATTATTATCGCAACAAACAAAGATAAAATTGAAATTCACTTTATTATTATTGTAAATCCTGTTATTATTTAGATTACAGAAGATTGATGATTATTGTAAAGCTCATAGATAGCTCTAGTCTAGAGCGGAGCTTCTGTTTTATTAAATCTTGTCTTTAGCTAGTAAGTCCATTCCTTGGGGAGAAAAATCTCTGGTGAACAATCATTTCCCCGTTTAAATTTCGCCATCTTGTTGTCACCTTTCATGCTCTTTTTAACATCTGCAAGTAAACACAAAAAATGAATCATGTTTATTGTACAATGATTTTTACAATAAGTTTGACAACATGCTACGTGACAGATTATCATTGGACAGTTTGAAAAATATTTTATATTTTCCATCAATATTTTTTTGATACCTATACCATTGTCAAGCATGTTGTACAAATTCATTATACAAATGACTTATTCCAAAAAGAATGATTTGATGAAAATACAAAATAGTAAGATGGTATCATCATCGTGTCACCTTTCATGTTCTTAATACTTTGTATGTCTAATTTTTTGAAATGATTATAGGTTTGGGCAATAGGTTGAAAGAGAGAGAGAGAGAACCTTGGTGGGGTTTAATCTGGTGGCCGAGTTCGTGAACATTAAGGTTGAGTGTCTGAACAACTCGAGCGGGGAGGAGAACAGGAGAACAAGCTGCTTACAGTAGGGAAAACCATGAGAAAAATGGCATTTCTATCTGCATTGAAGTGGTAGCTAGAGGTGTTATAATACCTGACTTATTGTTAAATTGGGAGTCGATGTCTCCTCTTCTCGGAAGAAAAAATCCCGTTCCTGATGATTTTTGGCTCGAACCTAGGAAGATGGCTTGCATTCCAGGTCCGATGGGATTTCTTGTTCCTTGGGGTCTTGGGGTCGATCTTGTGTGACGATGAAGCTATTAGAGAGCGGAAAGATTAGTTAGAATATTTTGAGTCATATTATTACCATGAACAATGCTATAAGTACAAAAAAATAATAAATAAAAAAAATCAACAAACATTTTGCAAAAAACAACACTTGACGGGTTTTCATTTAAAGATTAAAACTAAAAGAAGAAGAAGAAGAAAAACTGCCAGCGGAGTGCTGACACAACAGTACCCTGTCAAATTTCTGTCATAAAAGTCTGTACATGTGACTTTTTTCTATTACCATATAAAATTCATATAGCGGCAACATGTATTTGTGATCATCATTTACAATTGAAAAATATGATGTAGATTATTAAAAATAAAAAATAAAATCAACCAAATAAACCATAAAAGGAATAGTACACGTTAATGAAGTCAGGATCTTAAATTTTAAATTCGTAGCGTTTTAAATATATGCAACATTTATTTTTAAACCACCAAATTCAGAAACAATTAATTATATAACATCCTTCACTGCTACGTAATATGCATTACAAGAAAATCTATTCCAAAAACGAAAAGTAAATAATTGTAATTTAAATTCAACTAAAGAAAAAACATGACAACGTAGTTCTTATTATTTGGTATTATAGCGACCACGTGTACTAGGAGATTAATCACGTGTGCAATATGACCGAATAGGTTTCTTTATATACTTTGTTGCATAGGATCTTTCATTTACTTTATCTTGGTCTCAAGAGAATAAAAGAAATTCCTACTGTTTAAGACATCGTGAAAAAGTGACAAAGTTTTAAGGTTACAAGTTTCGAATTTCTGTCACGAAGAGCATCGTAGAGTCGTAGATAGGTACGATACCAAAAAACTTTGATACCGTTTAAAAATTTAAAATCGCTTTTTAATAATATCGCACTTCAAAATATGGCAATGCCATTAAAACAAAATATATGTCATTTTCGTAAAAAAATAATAATAATAAAATATATGCACCACAATCCAATTGTGTTTGATAGTACCTAAAAATATGTTAAATTATTTTAATTAAATCACTTAAAATTATATTCAATTATTAATAAAATTTTCTTAATTTTTATTGAAAAATTAACTTTGAAGAATACTATAAATCTTAGAAAAAAATTAAATTATTTGTTGTTCTACTGCACCAACTTCTTTTATTCAGGTTTCAGACGGGATATTGAAAATAGAGTTAACAACAAAAAGAAATCATAGCAAAAAAAAATAAAAAATAGCAAAATTAAAAGTTTATAGTTAATACCAATGGAGGAAGTGATTCTGTAACCGATGAATACTTTTCACCGTGCCGATGTGGTTGCCTTGTCGGAAAGTTAAACTGCTCCTCCAACTGCAAGCCAATAAACAAATGCCAAAAGCTTTAAGGTTAATTTCTCTCTTGATTATTAATATGTTAAAAAAAGAGTATGATATAAAAATCGTGAAAACATTGGATAGAAAAATATTTTTTTGATGGTTCGTAATAATATAATCATGCTAATTAATTTAATATTATATTAAAAAAATAACAAAATAATTAAAATAATTTTTTATCTCGATGTTTTACACCATCTAAAAAAAAGATTCAAAATATTATTTAAAAAAAAAATCATAATTACACGTGAATCTATGATTTCTCTTTGAAATTTTATTGGGAAAAAAAAAACGTTTTTTGATTTCTGTAACGTATGCAAAATCATAATGCTAATCTTTTTGAAGATGTAATCCATTTGTTACCCAAAAATCAGATATCATTGACAAAAAGAAAATAATTTTTCCGAAAAACAGGAAACATATTTTAAAGTTTCCAACTCAAAAATATTCATAGACTGATAGACAGACCTTCTGCTGAGAATGAATGGCATTTGCATGGTTAAGAGTATGTGTAGGAGGCCAAAGCATTCCTTCTTGAAAACAACCAAAATCCTTTTGTGCCATTTTCGCACAATAATCTAGAGAGAGAAATCAAAAGGGGTAGAGAGAGAAGCTCCTTTGTTGTTCAAGAAATAGGTTGGAGTGTTCCAACTCTGAACCTGCAACATAACTGATAAAATACTTATATATAAATACACTAAGGCGGGGGTGGGGTGAAGAGGGAGAAGGTAATAATATTTGATTATCAGAATTTGGAGAAGATAATCTTGTATTTGATTATCAGAATTGGGTGTTGAATTTTGAAACGGTTTTACTAATTTACCCTTCTCTAAATGAGTTTTGTCTTCAATATTTTTTTCCTTTTTATACAATAAATGCATTCCTACTCACCAGATATCACTTACTTTTTTCAACCAGATTTTTTAATATCTGAAACAGTGAATTTATTTTGTCTTCTTTAGGAATTTAATTTTTTTTCAAATTTTGAATCGTCTTAGAAGGTAATTATATTCATACCAATTATTTATTGTCTGCATCGTATTATAATTACAATGAAGGTTCCAATACTTTATTACTTTTTCAGTTATATTTTCAAAATTTTTTTCCTCCACATTCTTTTCCTTTACCTTTATTTAAGCCTTTGTTTGACAATAATTTTTTGGAAAGAACGAATTTTTGAATAATAATTTTTCGAAAATGTATGTTTAAGAAGTAGAAATTTTTTTTTTTTGAACTTACGTAAAGAATGATTTATTGTGAGAATGTGAGATTGAAAATGAATAAGAAAAAAAGAATTTTGAAAGAATGATTATCAAATATGAGGCTAAATTAACATATCTTGTCTTTAGTGACGATTTTTATCCAAATGTTCTGTTAAATAAGGGCTAATATTTATTAAAATATATATTTTTTAAATTTTACTTATTTAAAAATATGATAGACAAATAAATTTTTTTATATGCCATCTTAATGAAATTTTTTGATGAAAATCATAATCAAAGACACAAAAGACATGCATGTTATTATAAAATTGAGAATAAGAATGTGATTTAAAAAAAAAACCCAGGATTGTATTTGTGAAAATGAGCAAATGTTAAGGAAGTTCACTACAATTAAAATGTGGGACGGTTAACAAAAAAATATAGCGTAAATATAATTATCCCTCTTAAATTGGTGGGAAAATCGAGAACCCAAAAACGATTCTAGTGGCTTGTTATGGTCGGTTGTACAGTATCATTTACAATCCAGTTCCCATTATTAATGCTCCGTTGAGCTACATTAATGTAAGAATGAAAAAGAAAAATGTAGTCGTTACATGCCCCACATAAGAGATAGAAAGTCAAATACGATGACTTGATGTAATGGATAACAGTCATAATTTTTATTTTAATGGACAAATAATGGGAAACACATAGGGGTTAAATATATCACAATAATATAAATATTTTTATGAAGAAGAATGCACTATGAGTAGTGCATAAAATTGTACTCGAATACACATAAAAACATATCACATAACATTTGCTTCTACTTATTTCCATGTACAAAAAATTATTCCTATAGCTTTCTTAATTACTGCTCAATGTAATACTAAAATTGGAACTAACTAGCTATACTTACATCTTGACAGATTAATAAAGTTAGAACCACGAAAGAAAGTTGTAAATTCATATTATAGAATTTCGTATTAATTAAAAAATACAACCAATTCTAAATAATTTTCAAGCTCAACAATATATTTTCATAATTAATGTTTTACACTTTATACAATTTCAATATCGTCAGTCAATCATAAATAGAAGAGTTATGCAGTGGCGTTTTTGTATGATATTTCTTCCCACAAGTTACAACACAAATAAAAGCACACTATTTGTTCAAGAACACAATATCATAAGAAAAGGTGATGCCAAAAATACTAAACTACAGAAGACGTAAGGGCAATCGATGGAAGAAAAAATGTATGCATATAAATAGTTGAAATATATAGTTGATTTATTCCCTGTCAACACAGAAAATATACAAAAGAACAATTACCAATAGAATACATAACAACACCGGATGTAATTTAACAGTTAAATGCAGTCTATGCAGATACAAGTGACAAGATGATAGAGTTAAAAAAATGACTCACCAACGGACCCTGAGACAAAGCTGAGGTAGTTTTCCGGTATCAACCGCCTATCAAAACCAGGTAATGGAATGAAATATCCAACCCGGCTCATTACTAATAAAACAGAAGTTACAAACAACCGCCTCCTTATCTCACTCTTAAAAAACGATTCTGCAGCATTATTAATTATGGAACCAATCCGTACAAAATTCAAAAACTTATTCCTAAATGCCATACTCCTGGGCTCAGAAACCTCCAATTTATTGACATCCTGTGCAAGTCCATTATCACTCTTTGGTATAAAATGTTCATAATTCAAAGATTCAGCAGCTGCAGCTGCCTTGACATTTCTACAAACAGTTGGTAGATTGTCCGAAAAATGTTTGAACGAAAACCGTTCAATTCGATTCCGGAAAGAATGCTTTTTTAATAAATAAATTCTCCTCCCAATTAACTCAGAAGATCTTTTCCTGAGAGATAATTGAGTGCCAGACGATGGCGGCTTACAGATTTGAAGATTAGGCACAGCATGCTTGCCTACATGCATAAAAACAAAGAAAAACACCAAAATTTAGCCAAATGAAATTGGAACAAGATATGATAAAAAATAAAAAATAATAATAATAATAATAAAACCCATATGAAATTACAAAATTAGAGAAAATTGAAACTCCGGCAAGTATATGTTCGGTACAAACGGAAATTGACAGCATTAAACTTGTTCGTGGTACTGTTCAAAGTCCAATTCCCTCAAGTACTGCCTATTCAATATACAATAAAAGGACAAATTTAATACCAGTAAAGAGATGGGTTTGAGAATTGAGAAGAACGGCTTTCATGGCGAAGTGCTGCTAAGTTGAGCAAAGCAACGAGAATGTATCTAAAAGGGTTTATTTCATATTTTTCCGGAAATTAAAGATTGGGGTCCCCCAACTTATCAATTTGTTTCATATCAGTTACCAATCTTCAATTCGTCTCAAAATTGGACTTGATAATGAATAGCTCCTATTATGTACCACTAAACAAATTCATTATCTAATGTTATAATTTTTTAACTAGTGTTTTTTTTTTTGGAGAATATGTGGTTGAAATAAAAGGAATTTTTTTAACTCATGTGTAATATTATTTTATTAGAAAATGTGTGGTTAAAAAGAAGAGAGAAAATTGTATTATAAATTTAGCCCCCATTAAATCTCATCAATTTAAATTAATTTTTTCTTTCTTATTTTTAACCATACAATCTTCAATAAAATAATATTATAGGTAAATCAAAAACTTTTTATTCTTTTACAATCATTCATTTAAAAAATATATATATATATATTATTCTCCCATTATAATCAAAATTAATAGAGGCCAAACATGAGCTGGGGTCAAACGGCAGTATATTTTCGATCCAAGATAAATGAGTGACGTGGAGCTAATTTGACATTAAATTGTAATATTTTGCGGCCAGATTAACAAATTGATAATGAATAAGTTTCAACAAGACTCCAACAACACTATAAAAAAAATCCGACAATTGAAGAAACCTTCGTGCACAAGTCGTTTATGAATTAAAGAAAAACGTATTTTGCATACGCTTTCATTAGTTTTAGCCCCTGTTTGGCCCCCATTACGGGGAAAATTTAATGTATAGAATAGTGTTTTTTGAAAAATGAGTGGTTGAAAAAGAAAGAAAAATTTTCGATTTACGTGTAATATTATTTTATGGAAGATTGTGTGGTTGAAAATAGGAGAGAGAAAAATAGAATGTAATGTAATGTAATGAAAATCAAACAAGGGCTTAATTAGAGAGCGAGGGAGATAATAGTTAAATTGAATGACCCTTTTAAAACAATTTTTAGTTGAATGAAACGAATAGTTCAATAAGCAATTTTGAAGAAAATCCATCTCACAAGATTTGAACCTAAACTGAGCTCACGTTTAGTTTACATTTAAAGAGCGAGAGAGAGAAATTCAACAATTAATTAATTTAAATCATCAATTTCATTGATTAATAACTTTTATCAACATTTAGCTACACACTTCATCAATTTTTATTGAAATCTACTAAAAATATGATTTTTAGCAAAATCAGACAAACGGTAAAGGTCAATAGTTACATAGTAGAAGATCAATTTTGCATCGGAAAAAATTTAAAATTCAATTATTATCGCAACAAACAAAGATAAAATTGAAATTCACTTTATTATTATTGTAAATCCTGTTATTATTTAGATTACAGAAGATTGATGATTATTGTAAAGCTCATAGATAGCTCTAGTCTAGAGCGGAGCTTCTGTTTTATTAAATCTTGTCTTTAGCTAGTAAGTCCATTCCTTGGGGAGAAAAATCTCTGGCGAACAATCATTTCCCCGTTTAAATTTCACCATCTTGTTGTCACCTTTCATGCTCTTTTTAACATCTGCAAGCAAACAAAAAGAATGAACCATGTTTGTTCTACAATGATTTTTACAACAAGTTTAACAATATGCTACGTAGCAGGTTATCATTGGACAATTTGAAAAATATTTTATCCTTCCCATCAACATTTTTTTGACACTTACACCATTGTCAAGCATGTACAAATTCATTGTACAAATGACTTATTCCAAAAAGAATGATTTGATGAAAATACAAAACAGTAAGATGCCAAGATGGTATCATCGTCGTGTCACCTTTCATGTTCTTGATACTTTGTATGTCTAATTTTTTGAAATGATTATAGGTTTGAGCAATAGGTCGAAAGAGAGAGAGATAACCTTGGTGGGGTTTAATCTGGTGGCCGAGTTCGTGAACATTAAGGTTGAGTGTCTGAACAACTCGAGCGGGGAGGAGAACAGGAGAACAAGCTGCTTACAGTAGGGAAAACCATGAGAAAAATGGCATTTCTATCTGCATTGAAGTGGTAGCTAGAGGTGTTATAATACCTGACTTATTGTTAAATTGGGAGTCGATGTCTCCTCTTCTCGGAAGAAAAAATCCCGTTCCTGATGATTTTTGGCTCGAACCTAGGAAGATGGCTTGCATTCCAGGTCCGATGGGATTTCTTGTTCCTTGGGGTCTTGGGGTCGATCTTGTGTGACGATGAAGCTATTAGAGCGCGGAAAGATTAGTTAGAATATTTTGAGTCATATTATTACCATGAACAATGTTGTAAGTACAGAAAAATCAACAAAATTTTTGACAGAAACAACACTTGGTGGGTTTACATTAAAAAAATAATAATAATAATAAAATTGGCCAACAGAGTGTTAACACAACAGCACCCTATCAAATTTCTGTCATAAAAGCCTGCATAGGTGACTTTTTTTTATTATCATATCAAATTCATATAGTGGCAACATGTATTTGTGAGAATCATTTACCATTGAAAAATATGATGTAGATTATTTATTAAAAAATAAAAAAATAAATAAAAATAAACAACCATATGAGGAATAGTACACGTTAATGAAGTCGGGATCTTAAATTTTAAATTAGTAGCGTTTTAAATATATGCAACATTTATTTTTAAACCATCAAATTCAGAAACAATTAATTATATAAGATAACATCCTTCACTGCTACGTAATATGCATTACAATAAAAACTATTCCAAAAACGAAAAGTAAATAATTGTAATTTAAATTCGACTAAAGAAAAAACACGACAACGTAGTTCTTATTATTTGGTATTATAGCGACCACGTGTACTAGGAGATTAATCACGTGTGCAATATGACTGAATAGGTTTCTTTATATACTTTGTTGCATAGGATCTTTCATTTACTTTATCTTGGTCTCAAGAGAATAAAAGAAATTCCTACTGTTTAAGACATCATGAAAAAGTGACAAAGTTTTAAGATTACAAGTTTCGAATTTCTGTCACGAAGAGCATCGTAGAGTCGTAGATAGGTACGATACCAAAAAACTTTGATACCGTTTAAAAATTTAAAATCGCTTTTTAATAATATCGCACTTCAAAATATGGCACTGCCATTAAAATAATATGTCATTTTCGTAAAAAAATAATAATAATAAAATATATGCACAATCCAATTGTGTTTGATAGTACCTAAACATATGTTAAATTATTTTAATTAAATCACTTAAAATTATATTCAATTTTTAACAAAATTTTCTTAATTTTTATTGAAAAATTAACTTTAAAGCATACTATAAATCTTAGCAAAAAATTAATTATTTGTTAATCTACTGCACCAACTTCTTTTATTCAGGTTTTAGACGGGATATTGAAAATAGAGTTAACAACAAAAAGACAAAGAATTAAAAAGAAATCATAGCAAAAAAAAAATAAAAAATAGCAAAATTAAAAGTTTATAGTTAATACCAATGGAGGAAGTGATTCTGTAACCGATGAATACTTTTCACCGTGCCGATGTGGTTGCCTTGTCGGAAAGTTAAACTGCTCCTCCAACTGCAAGCCAATAAACAAATGCCAAAAGCTTTAAGGTCAATTTCTCTCTTGATTATTAAAATGTTAAAAAAGAGTATGATATAAAAATCATGAAAACATTGGATAGTTTGAAAAATATTTTTTTGATGGTTCGCAATAATATAATCATGCTAATTAATTTAATATTATATTAAAAAAATAACAAAATAATTAAAATAATTTTTTATCTCGATGTTTTACACCATCTAAAAAAAGATTCAAAATATTATTTAAAAAAAATCATAATTACACGTGAATCTATGATTTCTCTTTGAAATTTTATTGGGAAAAAAAAAAAAACGTTTTTTGATTTCTGTAACGTATGCAAAATCATAATGCTAATCTTTTTGAAGATGTAATCCATTTGTTACCCAAAAATCAGATATCATTGACAAAAAGAAAATATATTTTTTCGAAAAATAGGAAACATTTTTTAAAGTTTCCAACTCAAAAATATTCATAGACTGATAGACAGACCTTCTGCTGAGAATGAATGGCATTTGCATGGTTAAGAGTATGTGTAGGAGGCCAAAGCATTCCTTCTTGAAAACAACCAAAATCCTTTTGTGCCATTTTCGCACAATAATCTAGAGAGAGAAATCAAAAGGGGTAGAGAGAGAAGCTCCTTTGTTGTTCAAGAAATAGGTTGGAGTGTTCCAACTCTGAACCTGCAACGTAACTGATAAAATACTTATATATAAATACACTAAGGTGGGGGTGGGGTGAAGAGGGAGAAGGTAATAATATTTGATTATCAGAATTTGGAGAAGATAATCTTGTATTTGATTATCAGAATTGGGTGTTGAATTTTGAAACGGTTTTACTAATTTACCCTTCTCTAAATGAGTTTTGTCTTCAATATTTTTTTCCTTTTTATACAATAAATGCATTCCTACTCACCAGATATCACTTACTTTTTTCAACCAGATTTTTTAATATCTGAAACAGTGAATTTATTTTTGTCTTCTATAGGAATTTAATTTTTCTTTCAAATTTTGAATCGTCTTAGAAGGTAATTATATTCATACCAATTATTTATTGTCTGCATCATATTATAATTACAATGAAGGTTCCAATACTTTATTACTTTTTCAGTTATATTTTCAAAATTTTTTTCCTCCACATTCTTTTCCTTTACCTTTATTTAAGCCTTTGTTTGACAATAATTTTTTGGAAAGAACGAATTTTTGAATAATAATTTTTCGAAAATGTATGTTTAAGAAGTAGAAATTTTTTTTTTGAACTTACGTAAAGAATGATTTATTGTGAGAATGTGAGATTGAAAATGAGTAAGAAAAAAAGAATTTTGAAAGAATGATTATCAAATATGAGGCTAAATTAACATATCTTGTCTTTAGTGATGATTTTTATCCAAATGTTCTGTTAAATAAGGGCTAATATTTATTAAAATATATATTTTTTTAATTTTACTTATTTAAAAATATGATAGACAAATAAATTTTTTTATATGCCATCTTAATGAAATTTTTTGATGAAAATCATAATCAAAGACACAAAAGACATGCATGTTATTATAAAATTGAGAATAAGAATGTGATTTAAAAAAAAAACCCAGGATTGTATTTGTGAAAATGAGCAAATGTTAAGGAAGTTCACTACAATTAAAATGTGGGACGGTTAACAAAAAAATATAGCGTAAATATAATTATCCCTCTTAAATTGGTGGGAAAATCGAGAACCCAAAAACGATTCTAGTGGCTTGTTATGGTCGGTTGTACAGTATCATTTACAATCCAGTTCCCATTATTAATGCTCCGTTGAGCTACATTAATGTAAGAATGAAAAAGAAAAATGTAGTCGTTACATGCCCCACATAAGAGATAGAAAGTCAAATACGATGACTTGATGTAATGGATAACAGTCATAATTTTTATTTTAATGGACAAATAATGGGAAACACACAGGGGTTAAATATATCACAATAATATAAATATTTTTATGAAGAAGAATGCACTATGAGTAGTGCATAAAATTGTACTCGAATACACATAAAAACATATCACATAACATTTGCTTCTACTTATTTCCATGTACAAAAAATTATTCCTATAGCTTTCTTAATTACTGCTCAATGTAATACTAAAATTGGAACTAACTAGCTATACTTACATCTTGACAGATTAATAAAGTTAGAACCACGAAAGAAAGTTGTAAATTCATATTATAGAATTTCGTATTAATTAAAAAATACAACCAATTCTAAATAATTTTCAAGCTCAACAATATAATTTCATAATTGATGTTTTACACTTTATACAATTTCAATATCGTCAGTCAATCATAAATAGAAGAGTTATGCTACAATGACAAAAGAGTTTGACAAAATTGGATGACAAAGTTGGATCTACACCAATAATTTCAAAAATAGATTTTTAAATCATTTCAAATCAGTGGCCTGCATTCTGCCAACACACTTTGTAAAGCAACTTTTGTAACCCAACTTTGTTGAAGTATAATTATTGTAAATAGAAAAAAAAATGTTTACATTATTATTATTTCAAGTCATTCTATTCCATCGTATTCAGAGTTTGATCGAATCTCAAACAATAAATCGAATATGGACAATTTTAATAAGATTTCATTCTTGAACATAACTTCATTTTTTTATTTATTCCACTCCCCGTTTGATTAACAACAATAAAATCAAACCCTAATGTTGGAGACCTAACAAGGTATAGTTTATTGACTATGAGTAAACTATAAGGGACAAATGAGTAATTTGACCACCAGATAATATTGATACGTGGGATGTGGATAGGTTGAGTTGGGGGGTTCGGTGAACGCCCTCCACCCTCAACCCCCTCACCACCCCCACTCCTCCCACCCCCTCACTTCACTTCATTTATGGGTTTGTTGCAGTAGTTTTGTTCCTCACCTAAGATTTTATTTGCCCAAAATGTAAGATTTGTTATCTATTTTCTGCAAATGGAATTGAAGAAAATAGTTCATGTAATGAGAAAGTGACATATGCAAAGACTAGAGAGCCTTTTCTTCATAACTACCTTACCAACCCACCTCTACCTTCAAAAAGTTCGTTTTGGTTTAGGAAAGTGGGTGTGTGTCCTTTGACAATGTGTGGTGACTCAATTAAACGACCTGGAGGAATCGATTTTGAGGTAGCACATCTCGAATTATGTATCTTATACTCGAGTTGGGCATTTTTTCTGGACATGTCAGGCTAAGTCCAACTAATCAATATATCTTGTGTTGGAATATTTGAATCAAGGGTTCGGGGTGAAGATTATAATGCTGGAGAAAGTCCCAATTGAAATAAATACTTGCTCTTATGGCCTTCTATTAACCATAGTTTAGCTCTGAATAGACGAACAAGTCATTAAATTTCCATTCATTATTATTTTAATCACCAAATCAAATTACTGCACTAAATACAGATAGTCAAAAAAAAATGTATATACTATTAGAAATCATTAAATCCTATTTTTGATTGTTCAGATGTATCATTGAAAATCTTTGAAAGACAAATATCAAATAACTTCCTTGGTGAAATAGAAACTCTCTCATTTCACCTTCTAATGGATTTTTATTTTTTTGTTTTCAAATGACTCTCGTTGTCTTGTTTTAGGGTGGGGCACTAATCCTTTAAATCTCGTACCAAGGAACATCATACCCTTGCCCACCCCACCAAACAACGTTCTCATTCAAACCTTTCAACCAATCAATCCGACTCTCGTAAGTATCAAGCCAATTTTCGGTTCATATAAAATTAAAGCATCTATTAGACTTTCTAAATAAACTAACTCAATTCACACTGTATACATAAATGCACATAAAATTCTTCAAATTTTTTTCACAGATTATTTTGGCAACTGCCAAGTAATAGGATTCTAGTTTTGTACAAAATCTGTTAAAAAACCCTGGAGTTATAGCCTGTTTCATCGTGTGGTTGCAATGTGAAAGACGGGAAAGCCTGATAGATCAGAGGCACGCCAACTGTTAATCCCGAGATATACAGTATCCACCCAAGTTCGGGATTATTTGGGCACAAGGAAGCGATACTGTTCATTAAAAAATTGACTTTCTGGATCACCAAAGGCGAGCACGAAATTGTTATCAACATAAAATCCCAAGATACGGAATCAAAACAATTGAAATCCAATTGAGACTAATCGATATGAGCAAGATGACAACCCACAACGGAGGCCGAAAAAGCTTATTCATCGCTCTATAAATACTTCAAACCCACCAAAATTGCTATAGAAAGGAGAGTTAACATTTAACACAACCCAAAATTGGAAATTGAAACGGTTCTTTAAAAGAGATCAACAACGAGGCATTTCATCAGATGCAAGATCTTAAGGTCAAGTGTCGCCTAAAATCAAACATAATATCAAAGAGAGCTGTGCCCAAAAAAAAAAATAAAAATAAAAAATCATCGCTTCTTGGAGACACCAACGGTCTTTCCCCTACGGCCAGTGGTCTTGGTGTGTTGTCCACGCACTCTAAGACCCCAGTAGTGACGGAGACCACGGTGATTCCTACAATTGTTACATAAAATCAAAGTAAATATAGAAATAAGCAAAAGAAATAGATCTTGGAATGACAGTACAGATACCAAAGCATAAAGTCGAACCTAATCTTCTTCAAACGCTCAAGATCATCCCTCAGTTTCATGTCCAGAGCATTGGAAGTCACTTGAGAAAATTTTCCATCCTTATAATCCTTCTTCCTGTTCAGAAACCAGTCAGGGATTTTGAATTGGCGAGGATTGGCCACGATTGTCATCAAGCTGTCAATCTCAGCAGCTGAAAGCTCACCAGCCCTAAAACGATTTTTTCCAAGTCTTTTTTAGCTCAGTACGAACTAGAGTCAGGAGAAAAAACCAAGGTCTCCATACAATCTAAACATATCCCATATCAGGATAATCAGCATGAAATTAAAACCTTAAACCTAAAGTCAAATGCTATCACTCTCTCCATGATGTACGTTCAATAACATATAAAGTCAAAAGATTCAAGTAGGCAATTTCAAATTTCTACATATACGGTCCATCCCATTCAAGAAGACTCGACTTCAATAAAGGTGTATAAATCAGAACCAAGCAGTCTTAGTACTTGGGTAGCCAAGAGATTTGAACTCAAGAGGCTCTAATACAGTGTTGGACCACTGCATCTATAAGAACAAAATGTTTTTTTACACACCGGGTAATTTTTTCAATCAAATTGTCTTCACCATTCTGAGCATCATGCCTTAAGTAGTACAACGAAATAAAATGGAGAGGTTTGGAAGCAAGACCCAGAGATTCCAGAAATTGGATAGTCAAACATAAACTCAAATTTTAACGGCAAGAATGCAATTACTAACATGAACCATCTACAATATAAAAAATAAAACTCGACAAGTACAAAAGAAATTATTGATGACGCATGTATTTGGTACAAAAACCAAAAAAACAGCATAAAAATTCAAGGCAAAAGATGTTCCCGAAGGAATATTGTATTTTCTACAAAAGCAGCATCCTTAGCCTCCTGAATGAAAATGCATTGGTTAAAATAACTCAAGCCGTTATGTCCATTAGGCAAATTCCAAAATCGATTTCACCATCCCAAATTCACGATAATAGAATTAGTAGTGAATCCTTTCATATACAAAATAATATTACTCAAACACCCACCCACCCCCTCACTGCTAAGGTGGAAAGCGCCGGCCAGAGTATAGAAGTCCATGGCCTAGTAAGGCCTTCATTAAAAAATTTTAGAATCAATTGAAAAGCAAACCTAAAATTAGAAAACCAGATGAATAAAGAGGCATGCCCTGAAATTTTCTTGACAGGCCGCACCAACAAAATAGTGTTCATCAAACCACAGAATTTATGGTGTCAAACATATTGTCGAGCTTGTACATTTGTATTTATTAGTAGACAAGCTTCACTCAGATTACACAAGAATGACAAGATCACAATCATAAGATCATTATAACTAGGAAAAAATGACCGTTTCCCAAACTAAGAAAAAGTTTTCGATTTACGTGCAAAATTATTTTATTAAAGAATGTGAGGTTGAAAATGAATTTTTGGGAAAATGGGGCTCCAACAAGGGCTTTTGTCTAGATTAAGAAAGTACAGTTAAAAATATTTAGCAGTAGCAAAAGACAATACTCAGTCACAAATGCAATAGTTATCCCACAAAATGATTCAATAAAATTTAAACATCATTTAGGAAAAAAAGGACTGAATTTGCAGTAATTCCAAAGTATATTTTCATCTCGTGTATTTATGATGGGGTCCTTGTTTTGTCTAATTTTATTGTATTTAAATTAACTGATAGTCCTTTTCAGAATTTTAATTTTGCAAAGGCGTTTTACAGCTCTCTAATTCTAAAATTTTCTATTTAACTATATCTTCAAGATGACCTTCTGTCTTAAGGGGACATATGTAAATAACATTTATTTAAGACAATTTAAGTATTAAACATTCTTTTTTCCCGAAAAAATATCTTAATATTGTTAAAAGGGAATTTGTGCAAAACAAAATTTAGGAACACTAACTGTGACAGTCAATTATCTCGTGCTCTCGGGTATTTCAGGAGTGTCAATATTTTAAAATATAAAAAATGATGTAACGTCATCATCGAATCGGAGAGTATAAAATCAGAAAGGTAAAAACAGATATTTAAGGGATAGAAAACCTCTTGTTCATGTCAATATCTGCTTTCTTGCAGACAATATTAGCGAATCGACGACCGATACCCTTGATTGACGTCAGGGCAAACATGATCTTCTGTTTACCATCCACATTCGTGTTCTGCACACGAAGAATGTGCTGGAAATCCTCATTTGCTATCAGCGACTGTAAAATTCAGAAATCGACAAAAGATATAGATCAATACCAAAACCAACAGAAATATATGAAAGTGAATGTATCTATGCGCAGAAAGAGATCAACCATGACTGAAAATAGGCCGGTTTGTATGGGACGGGTTATTCGCTTCGGCCTTCGGAGGAGAACACAAACACTAAACCCTAATTCTTGTTTTGAGGTGCGTTGTAATGTAGTTTTTAAATTTTTTTGATGTGCAAATATATGCTCTTAATTGAAAAATACTTCTGAAAAGATAGAAATTATTTTTTTAGAGTTTGATTAATTTTATCAGTAGACAATTTATTAATTTATGCTATTTAAATATTTATGGTTCAAAAAATGTTATATAAACTATATTTTACTATTTGTACATATGTTGCTTTTGTTTATTTTTGAACAAGAATGCACATACTGACTTATAAAATAGTTAATTGTTTCAATGATCACTAATTTAAATTCGTGTATTCGAATGCTCGCTACACTTTAAACTGTCATATCTTGACTACTAAACTTCTCAAAGTGATAAACATCACTCACTAGAATCATTTCCGTTCTACATGCATAACAAAATACTTGACCAACATGCAGATTTCACAATCGGCTCCCTTTATCGTTATACGCATGTTTGAATTTCGATTTTTCATCCTAAAAAATCAATTTTTTTACCGTTACTTTTCCAAGTCAACCATCATTTTTTATTTCTTCTCACATAAATGAAAGCTACTTTTCTTTTTAATAATCAAAAAATTTATTCTCATAATCACTACCAAACAAGTCCTATATAACAAATCACGAAATAGGAACAATCACGTAATCACAGCAACATTGATTGCTCACTCTGCTTTAACAACGACAGGTGTCTATGATTGTTCATTTTATCATGTATTTAGAAAGTTCTTTTGAAGAAAATTTTTATTGAATGATTTTGCTTATGGAATACTAACATAACAAAACTGGCAAGAGTAGAACATTTAGTATCCGAAGTTTTTCAATCAGGAATCGGAATAAACATAGCGATGCATACAAGCAAGAGATCATAATATAATCATATGAAACTGAATGTTTCACTTCTTTCCAATCCGTGAATGAGATTTAAGAATTGAATACTTGGCGCTGAAAAACTCCACAAAATTGCATTTCTTCTAATAAAAAGGCAACAAAAAATAACTAGTGAAAATGACAAACAAAATAAGAAACTTGGCTGCAAAGAGAATTCTGTCTTCAGTTTCCAAACATGAAAAGCATGATATCCTACAACCTCATTTCTTCTTGCCAGCCTTAGCAGCATCTCCAGCTTTAGTCTGCACAAGTCAATTAAAGAAGTTAAATGCAGAATAAAAGTGGAAATGACGGGTAAAGAATACAACAATATTGCAAGTTAGCATCTCACATAAAAGAATATTATTCCTTCTAAATTTTAAAAAGGAAATCTTTTGGTAAGAGTTAAATGTAAGCATCAGAATGCACAGGTTTGTTGGCATGTCCTTAAACGTATTTTATAAAAATTATCATTTTTCCCACAGAGGGAGAGGAAAAGGGTGGCTACGGCAAGTCCATCCTAAAGAAAATGATGAAGTTGGTGGTAAGTACTCATCAAATTATTTAATCTATTCCAATTATTGCAGAATCGTTTTGGATACTATATCCAGAAACTCATAGCCAAAAATTGGAAACTATTACCTTCTTCACGCCACGGATCTTCTTTGCTCTGTTCTTCCTCTCCTTCAGTTGCTTCCTGGACTTCTCAACCTTGGTATCCAGACCGTTCTGCATAAAAAAATAACAAATGTCCAAAAAGAAACATAAAAATCTCAAAAAATTAGAGGCATGAGAAATAAGAGCAAAACAACCATTCAAGCATAATGACTGGTTTGAAAGAGGGCTAAGCATGCACAATTAGCCTTGCCTAAAATGTAAAATCAAAGGCAACGAAGAAATGGTACAAAATTTATGAAGGGGCCCCTCTTACTTCAATGGAAATTCTCCCAGAAAGAAGAGGCAAATTAAGGATACCTTACAACTCCTAACAACTCATCAACTTTATTTAGATCTTCAGTGCAAGAGCAGAGCATACAGCAAAAAATTAATAACCATATACACGTGAAACACACTTATTGGTGAAGACGTGAAGTATAAGAAGACTGGTATGTTATATTCACCATCTGAAAGATGTTGGACAGACAATTGTAATGAATTTATCACTTGCTTAAATGTCTATTTACCAGCATAACATAGACAATTCAGAAAGTTCGATGAGGTCAAGGAATTACCCTGATGAGCCTGTATTTTGGCTCGTATTTCTTTGCATTCTCAACAGAATCATAGATCAAGCCAAAACCAGTTGATTTGCCTCCACCAAAGTGGGTCCTGAACTTGAACACAAATATGGCATTTGGATCTTTCACTTCATACATCCTTGCCAATTTCTCCTTCAACTCAGCCTATAATGATAGCTAAAGTAGGTAAACCCAAAAGAAATCACACATTTTTACCCAAAGCCAAATTCAAATTGCCAACATAAATGCAAGTTAAAAATTAAAATTGAAACGAAAAAATCGAGCAGAAAACTTTCTTTTGGCGATCAGAAACTCAAGGGATAATAATCATCAACCAAGAACGCCAACAGATCCATTTATTTATTTATTCATTGTCATTCAATATTTTCAAAATTATGCTACTGTTAGTAGAAGCTTGTATAACTTTCATAAACCATATATTTAATAATTTAAAGCTAACCGTAAAAAATCATCAACAGACGTATTTATTTATTAACTTCCCTTCAATATTTCCATAATTATGCTGTGGCCTATAGAAGCTAGTTTTACTATCATAAACCAGGGATTTTACAAAACAGTTTCAGAATTAGACAGAGACCGAGATCAGTACAAAATAAAAGGAATTCTCAAATCTCAAACACATATACTTCAATCCACATCATAAGTAAAAGAACCGAGGTAAAAATAAAAAATAATACAGAAAAGCATAAAAACTAGAACTTAGGGGAATAATGCAAATATGTTGAGAAATCAAACCTTGGAAACATTGGCACGTCCTGGATGTAACACATCAATGACCTTCAAAACAAATTCATTGCACGGATAAGTAGAAACAAAATAATATAATAAAAAAGTTAACGTATAACAGTATTGACGACTTACAAATTGTTTCCTGGAGAGTAGACGATTTGTCATGAACTTCCTTGTTCGGATAGTCACAGCCTTGTCCGCCATATTCTGTAAAACGTAAACAAAAACCAAAGTTTATTCAAAGTCTAATATCTACATAGACATACAGTGACGTTGCATATATAAATGAAGAAAGAAAGTAAAAGATTATTACGTTATTTTTCTCGCCGGTAGCTCCTTGAACCGCCGCCTCGTCGATGGGCAGAGCGTCTTTCGCGAGGATTTCTTTTACCAGCAAGTGAGAAAAGGTCAGAAACTAGGGTTTTGGCATATAAAGGGGCTCCCTCGTGGGCTATTAAGACCAAACTAAGAATAGCGGCCTCATGAGTTGGACCCAATTTGTTTTAATGCTACCGGCCCATTAGCCAATAGTGAGTGTACATATTTACGAGAAAATTAGGCCCATTACTCTAAAAAATTGAACAAATTAGATTAATATACTTTAACCAAATTAAAACCTCTAATAACCATAAATAATACGTCCCAAAATCCCAAAAGCTCCAAATCAACAGATTACAAAGAGAAATCCTCAAATCATCCCAAAACCCGATTCCGTCATTCTTGATAGGTGGGGTGGAGGCTGGAGATTGTTGAGATGGTGCTGGTGTTGTTTCCTCGATATCTTGAACTAGGCTTGGGACAATCTATGCAGGTGCTAGTGCATGATAATGCTTGTGCATGTGCTTTCTTTGCTTATGCATACCAGATGCTGGTGCAGGTGAAAGAACCAATTTTGGTGATGGGCTAGTGATGTGATAGGTGGTGGTCATGGTGGTGCCGGCACTGGTGTTGGTGGTGTCTAGGTGGTAGAATTGGTGGGGGATATTGTGGGTGTGAGAACAGGAGCCTTTATATTTCTGGGGCTAGTGTTGATAGTAGCTGTTGGACAGGTGCAAGGATGCTTGTGGTGGAGATATAGTTGATGGAAGTATTGGCGGTGAAACCACTGGTGGTGGAGGTATAGTCCATGGAAGTGCCAATGGTGGAGATTGCGATGTTGATGGCTGGGATAGACTTGCTATTGGATTTGGTAGAAGTTGTGGTGATAGGACTTAAGGTAGCTGTTTGGTTTGGTTGGAAGTTGGTATATAGCGCTATAGGTGGTGTGACGTTATAGGGGTGATTAACGTAGTCGCTGTAGTTGAAGCCGACTGTATTGCTTTTTTGAGAACTTCTTTTTTACTGCACCTAGATATTGTATATAATGTTCTTAAAATAAATACTCGACATCCGTGTTTGCTATTGTATTTCTCATTGCAAATGATAGTGGCCTCTTTTAAGGCTTATGACTGTGAAAAAAAAATAAAAAAATCAATCAACTCTATGGAGTCTTCTAAGTTTAGACAAAATTCTCGAACCAAAATCGATCCGAATCGAGCAGTTGTTCTTAAATTAAATATTCAAACGGGTATTTGAATTAAAAACCAACGAGTTTGGTTCGGTTCTCGATTCTATATCAAGAACCACAAAATCGAATAAGAACCGAATTTTTCTAATTTTCTAATTAATTTATTTTAAATAAATCAAATTATTTTATTCTTTCTAAATAAATTTGTTAACTAGTTAATTTAGTTCAAACTCAAAATTATGATTTTCTTATTTCTAATTTTCAATACAAAGCCAACCTAATTAAATTGACATAAGTTTTATCCAAATCTGTTATTATATTGTAGTACTGTTTCTACCATTTTGGAGAAATCAAAATAAAGCTCGACAATGCCTCTCTTAATTATTGTGAGTTTGATATCTTCTTCTTTCTATGATTTTAACAATCAAATCAATGAAAAACTTAACAAAGAGAGACGCAAAATACGCACAAAATTGGAGTATGTTATTTTATAAGAGTTAAGATTAAACATGTTATTAGTTGAATCAATGTAACTTTATAAATATTAAAAATTTTAATCGTAATATGAAACCTGGGAATCGAATGGAATCAAACTCGAATGGATCCATAATTAAATTTGGATTCAACAATTTCACTTACTAAATACCCGAAAAATTTGGGTTAATAAATACCTGAAAATTTTGGGTACGGTTCTGTTCTCGTTAAAATCGAACTGGATCATGTCTAACACTAGAGTCTTTATTTGCTATGCAAGTAAGCGCAAGTGGTGCAATTCGTGCCAATAGCTCGCCATCAAATGACTTGATTAGCTATTATAATTTAATATTAGAAATCTCTGGAGAGCAGATTTTTTGTATATTATACCTCAAAGTTGAATTAGCGTAGCAACAAGTAGGATGCAAATACTATTGCATATAAATGTTGAAATGGTTGGAGGTGCGTTGAAAGTGAAATTTGCTTTATATCAAGATGATTTCTTATTTTGCTCGAATTTGATTATATACGAATTTTTGTCAACTAGAAAATGGCCATCATATTATTTTTGTCACTTTTTTTTTTTAATTTCTGTAACTTTTTTTAGTGTTTGTCACTTTTTTTGAATTTCGTCATTTTTTAGTGTTTGTCACTTTTTCTAAAAATATTTTCGTCACATCTTTTGAATTTGCATCACTTTTTTGAATTTGTCATTTTTTTTAAAATTTCGTCACTTTTGAGCATGTCATTTTTTTTTTAATTCTGTCACCTATTTCAATATGTGTAATTTTTTTTAATTTTTGTCATTTTTTTTTGAATTTGACACCTTTTTTAAATTATTGTCATTTTTTTGAATTTTTGTCATCGTTTTAGTATTTGTCACTTTTTTTTAGCGTTTGTTAATTTTCATAGTCACCTTCTTGATTTTATTACTTTTTTAATGACAAACATAACTTTTTAATATAAGTGATATAATATATCATTTTTTAATAAAAAAGTGACACTTAACTTCCAAAAAATATTTCATATCATTTTTCAAAAGACCCCAACTTTCAAGGGTATTTTTGTAAGTTGCCCTAAATTTACTCGGTCCAACTTTAAAGTTTTACTCAGACAATAGTAACCATCGTAACGTTAAGCTCATGTTTAATCCTCATTCTTTAAAAATTCACTTTTTATCAAATTTAATTTTAGTCGCATATTCTTTTAATATAATAAATTTGCACGTGGATATAAAAATTTTACCTACTTTTTAATCACTTATCTCCAAAAAAAATCACCATTACAAAACATATTTTCTATAAAATACGGGCTCAAATAAGTTTCATTTATGTTTGAGTAAGCCATACATATTTTCTATCGACGCATTTCATGTAACTTAAAATTTACTACAATTCATTATCTACAAATTTTGGCAAAATTTACATCTCGCAGGTACTTAAATCATCATCGCGTAAGTATATTAATCTTCATTTTCTGACTTCTTAAATTGTTTTTAGGTCCTAAGAAATTTCCTAAAGAAGACAGACTCGCATGTACAACATTTTTGGAAATTCTTCTTAAATAAATAAATAGAAATGAAGAGTCCATAAATAATAGTATTTGTGATTCTCACGAATTGTATACACAAAAATCGGCTCGATCAATTAATCAATGTTCGACGAAGCTCTCTTGAAATTATAGACTAATTAAACTTTATTTTCAATCACACTTGAACTCATACTTGCATTCTCTTTTAACAATGAATTCTATCAACTTATAATCTCAAAAACTTGTGGAACATGCGATTACAAGTGCTAGGAAATGAAAAATTCAATAATAACAAAATCAGCTGTAAATTAGTAATATTCTGTCATGTATGAACTATTATCTTTTTATTTTAATCTTTTCTAATTGTAAAAAGAAGTATACTTTTTCGTGATATTAATGCCAAGATCTCTCTCTCACCATCTCTCTTTCTTTCCCTTCTTGTTCTATTCTGCATCATTATGGGGTTGCAAAGGGAAACCCAAAGCATTTCCCCGCCATCATCTGCCCAGAGAAATCCTTCTCACGTCAACGTGCTCACTCGAAGTATTTCATAGTTCTAACTTCCGTTGATACTCCAATAACACTGAAAACTTAAAATAGACAAAGTATAGGAGCATGTTACCATGCTATTTGACTCCTAAGCTCACTTGTCACGCTCATAAGCTTGGCAGCATTCTCCACCATCTTAAAAGTACCAACAATAATCTCACTATCTTCCAATCGCCTTTATCTCGCAATTCATATTATAGACTCTAAGGACATCTCCAACCCTTGTATCGTTTCATCATTTTTCCCCATTTTGCACCAAACATTTGGTAAAATATCTCTCCAACCCAATAACATAATTTGTACAAAAATGATACAAAATTTGATACAACATTATTTACTTGCACCATTTTGCACAAAAATAATTAATATCCTTTTTGCCATTCTTTTCTAATCGAATCAAATTTTTGTCAACGATATTTGTTTCACCATCATCATCATTATTATTGTTACTTCTACTTATCATACTACATTTTTAATTTTATTAATGTATTCAATATTTTCCTTAATAAAACATAATTATTTATTTAGTAATTTATGTAATAGTAAATTAAATAAATAAACTTTTTAGATAAATAAATCATGGAGAATGAAAAAATGGAGAAAATAATTAAAACATTGTTCACTTGGTGCAACTTTTGGTGTAATGGATTGGAGATAATTTTCAATTTGGTTGCAAGATCTAATGCAAAATAGTGCAAAACTTACCTCAAATTTTAGTGCAGGATTGGAGATGATCTAAATTAATCCATAAAATAAAATTTCCTTATTTTATTAGGAATAAAATTAAGAACTTATAAACATAATAGCTCAAACCTAAAATATCAGAGGCCAGAAACCAAATTCCGACAAGTATGGGGGAAAAGAAAAAATTAACACCCCATTTAATACACACTAATGTAAAAATGAGAATAAAAAATATAGTCGTTATGAATCTCACACAAGAGAGAGAGTCAAATATGGTGACTTGATGTGATGAATAACGATCATATTTTTCATTTTAATGGACAAATAATGGAAAACAAACAAGGCTAAAATTCCAATCAGACCCATATGAGAAAATGCCAAAATAGCCCAGGATCAATACCAACAAGACAAAGCTGGCAGGAGTAAAACATGGAGTGTCTAAAGTTTTTCAATCACGTAACAGAATCAACATAGCTATGCATGCAAGATATCATAACATGATAAGAAACTGAACGATTTGCTTCCTTCCTATCTGCGAATGTGTTAAGAATTCAATACTTGGACTTGAAAAACTCCACAAAAATGCATTTTTTTCTAATGGAAAACGGCAACTAAATTTAACTAGACAAAATGACACAACATAAGAACGTGCTGCAAGGAGAAATTTCTGTACCCAGTTTCCAAACACGAAAAACAGGATATCCTAGAAAATCATTTCTTCTTGCCAGCCTTAGCAGCATCTCCAGCTTTAGTCTGTACAAGTCCATTATTGAAATTAGTCGCAAAACAAAAGTGAAAATGACATGAATATAATACAATAATATTACTAGTGAGCATATCATATAAAAGAATACCATCCTTTACAATTTTTGGAAGGGGAAAATCTTTTGAGAGAGCCAAGTGTGAGAATCATGTGTGCACAGGTTTGTTGGCATGTCCTTTGATTTATTTTATAATAATTATCATTTTTTGGGGGGTACGTAAAAGGGGATCTTTGGCAAGTATGTGCTAAAGAGAATGATTAAGCTGGAGAAAAGGTCTGCTCAATAATTATTTTAACCTATACCAATCACTTCAGAAATTTTTTGGATATTGTATCTAGAAACTCGCTTGTTAAAAAAAGGAAATTATTACCTTCTTCACACCACGTATCTTCTTTGCTCTGTTCTTTCTCTCCTTCAGTTGCTTCCTGGACTTCTCAACCTTGGTATCGAGACCGTTCTGCATAAAAAAATCACAAATGACCAAAAAGAAATATAAAAATCTTTAAAAAATTAGAGGCATGAGAAATGAAAGAAACAAACCTATAAACTAATAAAATAACCATTCAAGCAAAATGACTGATTTGAGGAGGCTAAGCATGTGAAATTAGCCTCCAATGGAAATTAAAGGCAGCAAAGAAATGTATGCATATTACAAAGAGGTCCATTTTACAACTTCAACGGAAATTCTTCCTGAAAGAAGAGGAAGATCGTTTGTCACATACCACTAACAACTCACCATCATTATTTAGACGTTCAATGCCAGGGCAGAGCATGAAGCAAAATGGTAATAACCATATACATAATGAAGGAATGATCCATGTAAGAAGCCTATGTACTTAATATGCTTCAAGTGTCAGGATAAAGTAAAAGTAAAAAACTACTAGCGTTTACACCTCAGAAAAGTGTCATCCTAGTACAACTAACAACTGAATATTCACCATCCCGAAAGACGTTGAACCGACCATGCTAATGAATTTGCCACTAGCTTAAATGTCCATTTACCAGTATAATATAAACAATACTGAAAGTTTAAATGAGTTACAGGAATTACCCTGATGAGCCTGTATTTTGGCTCGTATTTTTTTGCATTCTCAACAGAATCATAGATCAAGCCAAAACCAGTGGATTTGCCTCCACCAAAGTGCGTCCTGAACTTAAAAACAAATATGGCATTTGGATCTTTCACTTCATACATCCTTGCCAATTTCTCCTTCAACTCAGCCTACAATAATAGCAAAAGTAGGTAAAACTAAAAGGGACCACGAATTTGTACCTGAACCCAAATTCAAATTGCCACAAATTTAAAACAAAGAATCGATCACAAAACTTTGCTTTTGGAAACCATAAACTTATGGTAACTAATAACAATCAACAAAGAACACCAACAGATCTAATTATTTATTCATTTTCCCACAATATTTTCAAAATTATGCTATGGCTTGTGGAAGCCTGTATAACTTTCATAAACCATAGACTTTACATTGGACTTTAAAAATCATCAACAAAGAACATCAACAAATATATTGATTTATTAACATTCCTTCAATAATTCCATACCATGTAATGGCCAAAGGAGAAGCTAGTTTTACTGCTATAACCCACTGATTTTAAAGTTAACCTTTTCGGAATTAGACATGGACCCAGACGAGTACAAAATATAAGGACTTCTCGAGACTGACATATAAACTTCATTCCATATCTTACGTAAAACAACCAAGGTAGAAAAAAGGAAAAGAAAAAGGAAAATTATGCAGAAAAAGCATAAAACTAGCACTTAAAGGAATAATGCGAATAAATTGAGAAATCAAACCTTAGAAACATTGGCACGTCCTGGATGCAACACATCAATGATCTTCAAAATAAATTAACGGAAAAATAAGTAAGGAAAATATCAAATGGTACAGATAATTAGAAATAAAAAATAATAATTTTGAAATTTAATCAAAACATACAAATTGTTTCCTGGAGAGGAGACGATTTGTCATGAACTTCCTTGTTCGGATAGTCACAGCCTTGTCCGCCATATTCTGTAAAACATAAAGAAAAACCACAGTTTATTAAAGTCTACAATCTACATACACATACAGTGACGTTGCGCATATAAAAGAAGAGAAAGCAAAAGGTTGTTACGGCGTTCTTCTCGCCGGTGCCTCCTTGTGCCGCTGGTGCCTCCGATGTCGATTGGCAGAGAGTCGTCCGAGCGATGGTTTAGATTTCTTCTACCGGTATAAACCGCATAATACATGAGAAAAGCTTAAAATCTAGGGTTCAGAGTCTTTAGACATATTGGGCCAAGCGACGAAAAGGCAGGCCCATGATTTGGACCCAATTTGTTTTGATTTTCAGCCCATTTTCCTCCTTCCGGACCCATTTCTCCGCTTAAATATTTCTAGCTCCCCTGCGCGACCTTTGTTTCATTCCAGTTTTACATCACATGAAAACATTTTGCCCTGTTTCTCGCTGAAAAATACTGTAACTAATTTCTTTTTACAGTAGAAATCCCTAATTCTAATGGGTAGAATTTCCTCAGCAGTAGAAATCCCCGAAGGCCATCGCCGCCATAGCTACCGAGAAAATGGCCGCTACTCTCCTGAATCCCATAATTACCACCGTCGTAGCCCTAGTCGAGGCCGCAGCATGAACCGGAGCCGGAGTTCAAGCTACAGTCGAAGCCCGCCCAACAGGTACCGTCGCTCTTCTCCTGATTATTCTTCGTACTCTAGACGTAGCCCAAGGCCCGATGAAACCCTCGAATCATATGGAAGAAATAGACACGCGTATGATGATAGAAAGACCCTCAAATCCGATGGAAGAAATGGAAACAGGTATGATGATAGAAAGAAACAGTTCCTTGATCGCGATTATAGAAACGGACATGGAGAATCCGAATCGGACGAAGAGTTGAAAAGCTTGGGATTCGAAGAGTACAGGAGGCTTAAGCGCCAGAAATTGAGAAAATTGCTTAGAAATTGTATTTGGAATAGTACTCCCAGCCCACCTAGGGATCCAAAACAATCATCGGATTTGGAACCTGAGGATGAAATTACCAGGAAATTTGAAGAAGAAAAAGAGAACAGAGAGGATAATAAATTAAAGTCTGGTTCGAAAAGATTGAATAGCAATTCGTCAGAGAGTGAATCTGAGTCGGAGCCTGAGGATCTTGAATCTAGATCAGATGACTCGCTGTCAAGGAAGAAGACGAAGAGTAAAAAGTTGAGTTCCAGGCGCAGGAGGAGATCAAAATCCGTATCTGACAGTGAGAGTGGGTCGGAGGAGTCCAGCGATGACGAGGACACTGAAGAAGAAAATAGGAAAAGGCGTAGGAGAAAATCCAAGAAAAAGAGCAGTAGGAGAAGTAAGAGGTCCGGGAGTAGTAGGAGGAGGACGAGCAGTCGTAGAAGGAGAAGCTATTCAAGTGAAAGCGAGGCCGATGAGAGTGAGACTGAGGATTCTGATGCTAGTGATCATGGTAAGTCGAAGAAACGGAAGCATGCCTCATCTTCGAAGTCTCAAAGCAGCAAGAAGAATGAACCTGACAACGAGAGTTCCAATGCTGATGAAAGTTGCTCTGATTCTGAAGTTGATGGAAAGAATGCTAAGCAGAAGGTAGACGAAGCTGAAGTGGATGACGAAAATAATGCAGAGTTGCTTAAGTTTAAAGAAATGATAGAGTCTAGGAAGAAACTGACTCTGGATAATGAACCACTGGTTGGTCCACTGCCTTTGCCAAGGGCAGAAGGGCACATTAGCTATGGTGGCGCACTTAGGCCTGGTGAAGGTGATGCCATTGCACAGTATGTGCAGCAAGGCAAGCGTATTCCTCGCAGAGGTGAAGTGGGACTTTCAGCTGAGGAGATTCAGAAGTTTGAAACTCTTGGGTATGTGATGAGTGGTAGTAGGCATCAGAGAATGAATGCTATCCGAATCAGAAAAGAAAACCAAGTTTACAGTGCCGAGGACAAACGAGCACTGGCAATGTTTAACTATGAGGAGAAGTCCAAGCGTGAGCAGAAGGTTATGGCTGATTTGCAGCGTCTTGTGCAGCGCCATATTGGGCAGGATTCTGGTCCTTCTCACGATCCGTTTGCTGGGAGGGCTGGCGATGGTGATGATGCTTGATTCTAGGTCATAATCATGGTTACATCTCTATTTTGTTTGTCAATGTCTTCTCTATTATTTGGATTATGTAAGGAACCTATCAGCTGATGCTGAGAATGTAGAAGAACAAAACCTTTGAGAAATTAATTTTTATGTCTTTTGGTACTTATGTTTCATCAGATTTTTAGTAATTCAGTTCAAGTGACACGGATTGTCAATGATGGTATCATCTGCTATCCAAGTACTATAGTTTTGGAAATATTTTCATAGGTTGAACGTGTAGATCCTTCCTAAAATTCCTAAAAAAGGCAGCTAAAAAATCTGATTGTAAGCGCAGCCAACGTGCTAGAACTCAAGAATTAGAAGCTAGTTTTAAGACATGCCAAATAAATAGTTATTGAACATTTGCTCAAACATGGTTATTAGGGTCTTGTAGATTTGAATGTTTGTTTGGTTCGCTGATATCAAGTTTTGAATTTAATAATTTTTTGAGCGAGTTTACTATTTCTGAATTTTTAACTCCAACTTAAGGTTAGTCACATAAAATTAGTGGGTGACTGATGAAAAACTGGGGGGAATTTCAGTTGCAGACCATTTTCTTAAAATACTGAATTACTATATTTTTCAAATAAACATGAAAGAAAAATGACTTCAGGTCTTATATTAATTCCTCCAACTTCAGTCGTAAATCCTTCATTTTCTATCCAGTTGGCATGATGTTTTAGGTTTTAGATCTTTCAGTGCCTGACGAGAGTTGTCCCCGTTCATTGACGTTTGATCCACCGTTCAACCTATGACCTTCTGTTCATTAATATGCTTGAAAGAAGTTTCAGAGATATCGTATTATTTCTTAATTTATTTCATAATAGAGCCAATTCTTTGGCTTCTGGGGGGAGTAAAAGAGACATAAATCTGTTAGTAATGCTGGATTTACTAGAGAAAACTTCCACCTAGGTGCTATCCTTTCTAGATGGCACAAACTGCCTGTGGTATTTCTGAACATTTATATCATAATCAATATTACATTTTGTATCTTTTATTCGTCAATAACAATACATTCTCTTAGTAGTATTTGTTTGGCAAATGGACGTGCAATTAGCAAATGCATTATGTACGGAAGTTGAAAGCATAGCAATGGCCTTGAAATTGTTCTCAAGCTAACTATTATCTCTTTGTAATGAGCTAATGGACATGATGAAATTGGCTTTGCTACATATATTCTGTTTTAAGGGCAAAACATGTGGCGGTGATGACTTTGCTGCTGGTTTGTGGTGCAATGACCATGACATGGATCTGTGACAAGATTTTAGAGTCTGGATTTGGTATTTCCTAGGACATGTCGCTTGATTTTTCTTTTTTCGTCTTCCCAATTATGGCATCGTGTCATATTTTTCTTGATTGTCTTGATATTCTCTCATTTTGATGTGTCAATAAAATTTCCTGTCATTTTTCACCCAATGTTCTTATAATTAATAATTTTTCTTGAGAACCAGCTCATTCCACTTTCAAAAATTAACTATGTAATATCAATAAATGAATCAACTAACCAACTTTTAGGAATTTTGTTTCTTTGAAAGTTTTTGGAAAATGAAAATGATTATGTAGAGAGAGGAAAAAAACAAAAGAAAGAAAATATTTGAGTTACGTGTTTTAGTTCTCTCATAATTGCACGTTCCAAAAGAGCATAACTGTACCGGGTGCTTATTGCATTTTTGACTTGAATCCAGGGCAAGTCTGACTTCACCTGTTCTCTTTTCTAAGTTTCAATTATTTCCTATCTAGTTTTAGAGGCTGAACTTAAACCAATTAAAACATTATAGACTATGAAAAGAAAATAGCCCAAAAAGTATTTGAAGAAGCGTCGTGAGGCTTAAGGCTCGAGGTGTAAGCTTTGAGGCTAATAATGAAAGCCTCACATGAGATGCGTCCATAAACAATGGTTATTGGAAATTTGATGTGTTACTGGCTTCTGTTCATTGGGAAATTGGATTAACATCTGTCAAAGATGAGATATCAACTCGACTTAAGAGTGTGTTTGGTAGAGAGTGAAAAATAATTTTTTTTTTGGAGAATGTGAGGTTAGAAAGTATGAAGATGTTATGGGTCCCATGGTTGAAATGATTTTGGGGCAAAATGATCTTGAAAAAAAAAAAAAAATTCTCCAAAACAAACTCTTACTTTTTTTCAGTTTTTCTCATGAACTATAATTTTCTTGTCATGTTTGTGGAACTCGTATGTTTAATTATCATTGGCTATATTTTGAAAATGATAGGAGTTATGACCCGTTTTCCCTGTAGTTTATAAAGATTTGTTTTTCGTAAATTTCCTGAAATTACATTATGATTTCCCTTTTTTTTTTCCTTTGTTTAGTCCTCTCAACTGCTTCCTCTGTAAGTATGCTAAATATTCCTTGTTGGTTTTCTTCATATTTGAAATTTTCTCATCATAATAAAAACTAGTATTGAGATCTAAAATTATTTGAAATCAATTAATCGTGTAATGATCCATCATTTGTAATCTTAGCAGTTCTAAATTCTAATGCTGTATACTTTCATCTGATTGCTCAAAATCATCTTCTTATATCCATGGCTACTATAATGACGATATAGTTACATTACTATCATTTTCCTTCTAAAGGGGTGGTGAATTTTGTTCCTATTATGTTTGTGCTGCTCTAGTATTTGCTCGAACAGTTGGATCATCCTGGAAAACTTGGTTGTAAGGGCATTTGATATCTAAGTCGAGGACTTGGGAGTTACTACTAAACCTCGATTATTGAAACCGGGTGCATAAATTTTATTTGGAAAGGGATCATTTAAAACATCAATAAAATATATATCTTGCTTCCAACACGAAATCATATTTCAAACAGTTTATCCGCTTCAGGTATATGAACCTTTTGTATCAGATTCCGACTTTACAACATTCTACTTGAGGACAAACTAATCATCAAGAATCCAGTACTCAGTTCTGTATGATTAATTTTCCTGTCTACTTAACTATATAGCCTTTTCCCTTTTATTGAAAATCTCTTATTTGCACCTCTAGATTGCTCTTACAATGTTATTATGCTAATTGTTGGGGGTGTTAAACATTTTCTTCAGGTGGCATGGAATTATAGCTTATTATCTGGTATTGGTGTCGGTCGTTCTGCACTTCTGCTACAAGTGACCTAGAAGATATCTATTGCGAGACAGATTGAACACAAGGTCATTTGCACTCGAGAGGTACATGTTGTGTCTGTATCACATAATGTACTTCCCTACACCGAAAACCTCTTTTTTTTTTTTTTTTTAAGTTGGCGAACAGGTTTGCTGATATTCTTAGATTTGTTCACTCTGTACACTATCCTTGCCTCGTACTTCATTTCTGTTTTTCATTTACGCTACATGTTTTTCAGCACCTCTTCATTTAGACTTCATAATTTAAAAGGTTTCCAAGGTCCCCACAGTAACCAGGTATGTTGGCATGTCAAAGCAAGCTGGCTTTCTAGTATAACATTCTAAACATGTCTTCAAGAGTTTATTAGAATTACCTGTTGTTTGAAGAAAGAGAGAAAATCTTCACAAAATAATCCAGAAATAGGTCGGAAAAAGTTTCTAAGAATCTCTAAATTATATAGATATATGTACTTGTAGAATTAAGGAACTATGGCAGATACATCGGCTACAGATTTCATTTTGAAAGAGATGAAAACACACATTATGTTCTATACATTTGTCACAAGACTCCATTTTTTCCTCTTTTCAGATGATAGAGACAGGAAAGTGGTTTATCGAACAAAAGTAGACTTCAAGACAATCAATTTCAATCCATCTTTATTCTTTTTCCTTTTGCAGGGGGCAGGGGGAATGTGATCTGATCATAAAAAATTAGGCTATATTTGATAGCACAAAATTTTCCATGAAAATGGAAAACAAATTGGGGAAAAAATCATATATACCTTACAAATATAAAATATTTCATTATATACTACCTTATTAATTTTAAAACATACATTACTATATAACTCAGTGTAAATACCAAATTTACTGTGAGAAAAACTTCTCCTACTTTAATTTGTAACTGAAATGTTTATGCACAATCCAAGCGGGAATAATAAATAGAAAATGGTAAATGTATGGGAATGGAACTTCAAATTCAAATCGAGATTTAATGAGATGATAACATTACAACCTCATTGCAGGATTTCACTTGCTTGCCCTTTTTTGTTATTTATTCCAATGCGTATTTTATCAAACCTCAAAATCTAAGAATCGTAGTTTTAGCTTCCTCGGCTTCTTCTTCCGACGGGGAATTAAATTCTTGAGATGGGAATTCTCCGTCGAAGGCCAAGTTTTGTGCTTAATTTTATTTTCTACTTATTAAATTTGGTAGTTGATTTAATCTGATCTTTTTTAATCTAGTTGCACTGGGGAATTCTTAAAATAGTTAACTTTGCTTGGGAACTAGATTAGAGAATGAACACAAAGAAAACACTCGACAACCATTATAGACTACAATCAATACATGGCTTAAGATCTGGAATTTTAAATTCAAAATGAGTGAGAGATTGAAATATCAGGTGGATTCGAAATCTAATAATCAACATCACCACGAAGAAAGCATTCTTCACAGCACGGTCAGAAATTGTCGAAATTATAAAACCCCACCTGTGTTCATCTGATTGCTTGAAGGGTTCAATTTTTCCTAAAATTTTCAATTAAGAAGGTACAAACTAAATTTCTATAGAAATTTTTGTGGGTTTCTACATGTACACTAATTGTTTGCTTGAAGTAGTGATATTTTGTGTAATTTATATTTAATTTTAGGTGTTTAGTCGTTAGTCTTTGAAATCGATCGGTGCATGAAACTTTGTTTAATCATAATAACACCAAGATACATTGATGAATATGCTGGGCTGTGCATTAAAGTGATTTGTGAACTGATTTGGTTATTTTATCATAGTTCCTGCACATGTAAATACTGGAAATGTTTATCATTGAACAATATTACTTTGGGGTTCCATGAATAGATTATGAGATATTACATAACTCACAAACTTTGATTTTGATTCCCCCCCCCCCCCATATTACATAACTCACAAAATTTGATTGTGATTTTTTTTCCTATTTTCTTACAGAAATGGATTCATTGAATGTCTTTGTCAAGAACAGAGCAGAAATGATTGGTCTTTTGGTTTCATATTCTTGTAAATACATGGACCTTGTTGAGATGATAACAAATGACTTAAAACTTGATAGGATGAAGTCACGTTTGAAGATCGAATATGTTGCTGATGTGAACATATAGCGGTTTGGGATTGGAAATTTTGCATATCTTTGTAATAACTGGGAATAGTTAAATGCGGAATTAAGTACGTGGATTTGGGATGGTTTGAATAAGTAATAGGGGCATTTTGATGGCGTGATTGTTGCATGATTATTAATTAATTTAGTAGATAGTCAATTTTTAGATTTTTTAAATTACTGCATAAATTACAGTGATTTTAGAATAAAAAACTATGAAAAGTAAAATTTGAAATTAATTTTAAAATGTGGTACATGGTGAAATTTCACCCCAACTTCCACTTTTGGCCTACTTGATTGACAAAAATTTCTAGGGAATTGATTTTTCCACCGTGGCCGCCATGATAGCATTTTCTTAGTTTTCATGGCTTTTCCATTACAATCATGCTACATGTACAATTTTATTTGTACAATAATGGATGACAACCTTTGTTGGTATTATCATATTCATCCATTTTTTAAATTGTCAAAAACTGTTTTTTAAATAATTGATCTGGATTTCACCACCTCAACATTGTTAACAATGTTTGTCAACTAATATCGTATAAATAGCCTAATTCTTTCAATTATTGGTTTTCCATTTTTTTATTTTTTGCAATTGAAACAAATTTTAGGAATAATTGTAAAAGATGATATCTCTTAAATTGACAATTTTCATGTAAAATAAAATCAAACGAACATCAAAAGATAGATGATTTTTGATTTTTTTGGGCAATAGAAACAAATTAGAGGAACAATTGTAAAAAATGATATCCCTTAAATTGACAAATTTCATAAAAAATAAAGTCAAACGAATACGAAAATACACTTTTATTTCAACATTTTTCAGGTGAAAAGTTATACCAATCAAACATAATAATTGATAATTTTCAGTAAAATAACTTTTAGGCTATTTAATTTCCTGGAATTCGTTTTTTCTATCCAAATTCTATCTTTACAATCAAACGGACCCTTAATGTTAATGATGATACTCCAGGTAAAGATAATAATTAGTTGATATTATTATGTTACTCATAATGGCAGCAATATTCAATGTTACGTGTATTTTGTGCTGCAAAATTTAAGAGAGGTCAATTTTTTTTGAGATTTAGGGGCCCGTCCTTGAGCGATGTTGCATGATAATATGTTATATTTCATCATTAAAACTTTTGACCTAATCCTATGTTTGATTGATAATTTGTATTGTTTTTCTTATAGAAATATTTTAAGTTTCTTTATTGATAATAATTTTTTATTTTTTTATTAAATTTTTACGATGTTATGATTTTCTTGTTTTGATGATTTCTCCTAAGAATTGTTATCATTTTATGATTTAGTTTTTGAATTTTGTATTTCTTTATCATTAGCATTAGAACTTAATTTCCTTTTTGCAAATTTATAAATGGTTTATAAATAAGAATAGTAGCGGGTCTGGAAATTTGTGGCTAATAGTTAGTATTAGTTATAATTTGTTTGATTAAAATTAATATTTGACTTTCAATTGTACTTTAACTGAAAAATGTCCTCTACCTATGAAGGAGAATGAAAATGTTTCCAGTGTGGGGGTGATTGCCGTGATCTTAAGCACTCGTAGCTTAAGCCAAAATGCTAGTAAAGATATCGTCATCGTTTTTGATAGAATGGTTTGCTGTTCGGGGTGGGGCTGAAGTTTGCCAAAACCCATTTAATCAAATAGCTAAAATGCAATTGCGATTTCTTATAATATTTCAAAATTTATGTTATTGTTTTTCATTTCTATGTAATTTTGTTAGACGTGATGCCAATAAGAAGTCAATGCACTAGCATGGCTTGCATTCTAATTTTGGTTTAGCGACTTCTCAAATTCTAAATTTTTGGATCTACTTGTTGAGTTAACTAATGAATGAAATAGTGTTTTACTCTCTTAAAAAAGGAAGCGATTCCAATTAAATAATTGAAAAAATTATATTAGATAACTATAACAATGTAATCTGCAGAATGACAAAAGAAAATAGGGATGATACTGAAATTAAAATAGTTTTACATTCTTTTAAGAGGTTTACTCGTAGTTTAATTTGGTCTTTTCACAGTCACATTGAATCGTTGGTGTAAAAGATTTGCATTACACATCAAGTTTACTGAGCTTATTGTTTTTCATGCATATTATATTACTTGAATTAGTACTTGTTTGAAATGACGACGAATTCCTTTATAATCTTGTCCATCAATAAGTATCGTTTTCAAAAAATAAATATCACATGGTATGTTGATGTTACAATTTACATGCAATTCAAATTGGTTGACTTCCCAAGCA